CTTTTATCTCTAATCACATTGAATAGTCTACCAGAAAAAATATTTACAAATGAAAGAGATGCAAATTCTAGTTCTTATATTTTTAAATAAAATTGTTAAGAATCTTTATACATAAATGTGATCGATGATTTCTTGAAACTTCTGGACCTTCGATTTCCGTAACGCAGTTAGCGAAAAATATGGATTTTTTCTCGGGCACAAAACTTGGCCTCAGTTTCAGATTTATATATTTTTTTCCACAAATCTCAATTGAATTTATGATAGAACTTTATTCAAAATGTGAAAACTAATTGAATCAATTTCATGGTTGCTCAAAAAGAAAGTGAGTATAAAAAATAAAAATCTTTTATTGAAATAAAAAATATCAATTACACAGACATATATAACAAGGCACTTTTTTTTTTATTTCAATGCAGGGTAGTCTTCGGGCAGTAGCAAGTGGACGCGACATATTGGGCAGTCACTTTTTTTGTTCAGCCATTCTCTGATGCACTGTGGGAGGAAAAAAAAAATCAATAAGTTACACAGTAGTACTTATAGAAATGAAGACATTGAACACAGACAACACGGATCTTGAAACAACAGTACTTTAATTTAATACTAGGAGGCTTCGCCCCCTGCCCCGGAACTGCTTTCGCAGTTCATTTCGGATTGCTTCGCAATCCGATGCTCGCTTTGCTCGCTCATTGGACACATTCTTAACGTCTAGCTTTTGTATACTTTTTCGAACACTGAAGTTCCGAAAACTTTTCACTGTAGAAAATTCTAAACCCGCGCATTTCAATATTAATTTGAAATTGAAAACAGTTCGCATACATTTCTTAATCACACTATTCTAAATTTCAGTTGAGAAAAGTAACTGCTGTAAGTTTTGTTTTAAAGTCTTTCCCACCAGAGGGCTAAAACCATGTGTTGTAAAACAATATGAAATAGTACTGAACGCCGGATGTAAAGCATCGGCTTCGATGAAGATAATTTTGTGAGAATTTTTTTGATAATTCGGTGAGAATTCACCCGATTAGACATATGATGCTCACTACGTGCTCTTGCGCGCCGAAGCCTATCAATTAAAAATGAAAACTGTTGCCAACGCGAGAAAAGAAATATCATCGGTTTTATTGATACATACGTATTAGCGTTTTATATAATATAGATTAGCCATATGATGCTCACTACGTGCTCTTGCGCGCCGAATCCTATCAATTAAAAATGAAAACTGTTGCCAACGCGAGGAAAGAAATATCATCGGTTTTATTGATACATACGTATTAGCGTTTTATATAATATAGATTGCTATGAAATTTGTTAAAAAACATTTAAAAGATAGATAAATAGTAAAAACCTATTTAATTCAGATTTAACGCTTGTTGAATTCAGTTGCATTCAACAGTGAGCAGGCTGTGAAGCCAAATCTTTCAACAAAAAATAAGCACCTTTTAAGTACTTTTTAAGCCCTCAAAAATATTTTTAAGCACTATATACAATAACAAAATGCGAAATATTTTTCAAAGACTTTACATGATCACGATAAAATAACTAGTTTCTGACAAAACACTATTTTCTTGATTTTATTAGCCATTATAAAGTGATCAATAAATTTTTCAATATCAGAGGATGGAAAAGGAAGCCTGAAATGGAGAATATATCTTGCAAAATGCAGCAGAGTTACACATGAGAATGCTCGAATCTTACAGAACCCAGCCTCAGTAGACGCACATGCGGACTCGCAAGTATTTCATCCAACATGTAAAAGGATTGGCGCTTTCCTAAGCTATGGACCCCCAATACTTGGAAATAGATTGTTGAAATATTGAATAGAACCACATGAAAAGCATGCTTTTGATTAATGCACAGCGAAAATCAACACAGGAAAAAAAAATCTCATTTTCAAAAAGGGAAAATTAAGCACTTTTTAAAAGCACCATGAAAAACGCACTTTTAAGGGCTTTTACAAAACATATACCGAAAATAAGCATCTTTAATCCCATAACCTTTATTTCAGAAAAATGGAAAATTATTTTGACTGCTTCATTTTGTTCTTAATATTATTATAAAAGTTAGAAAATGTTTTTTTATTACAAAAATAAAATTTTAAATGCAATAACTACTGTATTTATAATTTTTACACACACATAAAAAAGTAATGGATTACACCAGTGTTTCCCAAACTTATGACTTTTTTGTACCCTTTCTAAATTTTTTGTAACGATGTGTACCACTCATAAAAAAATGAATGCATTTTTTACTATGAAAAAATTGCACAAAAGTTAAAAATCACAACTGGCTGTTGACACCACTAATTATTAACTGTTAACTTCACAAAAAATAGCCAATAGAAAAATACGTAATCGTAAATTTTCATGGATAGCTTTGTTTTCAAATAATATTTTTTGAAATTTTCATTTGCAGCAAGATATTTCGCATAAGCACGCGAATCCCCGCTAAACAGTTCCTATACCCCTAGGGGTAAGCAATATTAGTCTAGTAACTGCTTAATGACATTTTATTTACATACAGATTTAAACAGGCAGTTACTGATTATCGTTTGCTAACTTATATGCTACATCCAAAGTACTTGGGATTGAAATTATCATGTGCTCAAGAAGAAAGTGCTAGAAATTTACTCGCCAATATTAATCCAGATTTTGTACCTTATGTCATAGCTTTGCAAAACAAATCAGCCTCATTTCCTGAAACTTATTTTTCCAGGCAAGTTTTGACAACTATCCCAGCTGCTACATGGTGGTCCAGTTTTAAAAAATATGCAAGAGATGAAAGTTTCACAAATCTTGCTTGACAAGAAGAATCTAGAGAATCTTCTTAATCTTAATCTAGAGAATCTTCTTAAATTTCTCATTCGTGCATAGCAAATTGGGAAATTGTTTAGGTATAGAAACTGTATCAAAACTTGTCTTCTGTTATAGATTACTGCAGAGTGCAAACAATGTAATATTTGATTTTGAATGGTGATAATTTTGTAAATAAATTGTACTTGACATTCAATTGTTTTACCTATGAATTATCTATTGTATGTCAAAACTCAGTATTTACTTTTATGTCATTTTCTGAATTTCTGCCACAAATGTGGCAGAAAAGGGTTTCTGCCATGCCAGTTTTAACCGGTTTCTACCAGTGGTTTTAACCACCTCTGCAAAAACTTGCCAACCTTGGATTAAACTTTCCCAGTTTTCGAACATTTTTTAAAAATATATGCAAAAATCAGGAGAAAACAGTAGAAAAGCAGAGATATTTATTTACTTTCAAATGAAAACAGTGTCCACAGTCCACTTTGTAAGCATTAGAGGGCGTCATCTCTTCGTAACAAATAATACAGCCTTCTTCCAATCCAGAACCTGACCAGTTGTTCTTTTCCTCACTTTTGCTGGGTCCCCATGGACACACGGGCTGTCTCGGTTGTGGAGGAGGCGGTTTTTTGCTCTTTTTCTCCACTAATTTCTTGCTCACTAACTTATTTAGTGGGGGGACAGCAATCACTTTACTCTTAACTTCGACCATCTAAAGAAAAACAAATTGAAACAATACTTAATTTAAATTATACTTTATGGATATAGAGTCAAACTCCCGGATATAGTGAACGAAATGTTTGGCCCCGTGACTAGCTATACATATATAATGTAATTTTTAGTGGATATAGTGAACCAAAAAAGTGAAGAAGTGAGAATATTATTAACTTTTTTCTGGCTTATACTGATTTTTTTCCCTTCATTTTTTGGTAATAATTTAGTCTACTTCAAAATAAATACTTATACTGATTTTTAAAACCACCCATAGAGTGGAATGTAGCGATAAGCATATTTTTTTTTCTTTGTTTGCTTCTTTTATCTCATTTTCCCATTCCTAAATAAAGGCCAACCCAAGAAGTTGTATGGAAATTTTTTTTCTCTGAATCAGCTTCGTTTCAGCTAAAGATTACTATATTTTTTTTTGTACACAAGACAATGAGTAATAAAAATAAGTTAACACATTTTTTGTTACTACGTATTGTTTTTCAGTCATTTTTGTACAGTACAGAACCCGTTATCCGGAAATGAGAAAACCGGAAAACCGGAACGAAATTCGATAAATTTTCCCGCCATTTTTTAAACAAATTTTTTTTTTCCTTATAAGATTTTAGGATTTTTCTTTCTTTTTTGAAAGATGTTCACCTTACCATCATTTTGGAAATAATCATTAGTCTATTACTTCATCGTTTTTTCTTCTTTTTAAGATTATTTCCCCCCCAAAAAATTTTTTTAGTTGGGTTTAGCAATAAAAAAACTGCTTTTTGTAGCGATTCAGAAAACCGGAAAAATCAGTTATCCGGAATAGCGATGGTCCCGATCGTTCCGGATAATCGGTTCCCTACTGTATATTTTTTTTTGTACACAAGACAATTAGTAATAAAAATAAGTTAACACATTTTTTGTTACTACGTATTGTTTTTCAGTCATTTTTGTACAGTACAGAACCCGTTATCCGGAAATGAGAAAACCGGAAAACCGGAACGAAATTCGATAAATTTTCCCGCCATTTTTTAAACAAATTTTTTTTTTCCTTATAAGATTTTAGGATTTTTCTTTCTTTTTTGAAAGATGTTCACCTTACCATCATTTTGGAAATAATCATTAGTGTATTACTTCATCGTTTTTTCTTCTTTTTAAGATTATTTCCCAAAAAAAATTTTTTTTAGTTGGGTTTAACAATAAAAAAACGGCTTTTTGTAGCGATTCAGAAAACCGGAAAAATCAGTTATCCGGAATAGTGATGGTCCCGATCGTTCCGGATAATCGGTTCCCTACTGTATTTGATTTTATTGGTCATTTATTTAAATAATGTCTAATAAAAGGAAGGAGTTCGGAACTCCTAGTTATACTGAGATGGAATTTCGGTCCCTTGAAGGTTCACTATAGCGGGGTTTGACTGTATATACAGACAGGGTTCCCACTCTTTTAACAAAGCAAAAATTAAGCACCTATAAGGACCTTTTCTTGAAAAAATTAAGGACTTCTTTGAAAAATTAAGGACTTTAAAAATAGAATGATTGTTAATCATCGAATATACTTATACTACCAGTAACAGTGCCAATTATTTACATTTCTTTAAAAAAAAAATCAATAAATAAAAAAAATAATAAACAATTTTATTATAGTGTAAGAACTGATATAATTGCATTCATTAACAGGGCTCGTCAAAGAAGTACCAGGCAATTTTTGCAAACCCGGGTTGCTTTTTAAAAAAAAAAAAACATTTTCAGATCATTAAATGTTAACGTCATCTATGGAACTAATCCAGATTCAATTTTTAATGATTTCATTGAAATTGAATTGCAAAATTAAGTCCGGAAATTAAGATTTGCAATTATTTTCATGAATATTAAAAAAAAAAGAGTAAATAGAGAAATTTGGCAAAAACATTGAAAAATTTATTACAAGTTTTTACATTTCGCTACTAGACCTGCATCACATTCATTTATGGGGCAATCTTCCTAAATATTCAGTTATGCGAAAAAAATTCTTTCTTTTCTATTAATAAAATGTTTCATTTATAAGGGTATATATTAAAATAATTAATATTAAAAAGTTGAATAAGAGTTATGCTTGAGAATAGTTTTCTTAACTGTGCCATGCAAAATTAAGTCCTATTTTGAGTAAAAACAAGCGATACTAATATCTAAGCACCTTAAATTATTTCACATTTTTTTCATAAGGCTCAACTCAATATATTTTTTAAATTCATTGCAATAAATATTTTTATGAAAATTTTTATAGAATAAAAATACAATTATATCTGAGAAGATTTATAATTTTCAAACCAATTTGTTTTTTATTAGTTATTATTAGTTTTTTTATCAGTTAGTAAACATGTAAACAAAAGGGTCTAAAATGATTTTTCAATGGTATCAACATATTCCTATATCCAGAAAATTGATAAGGTTCCTTAATAAACAAATACTGATAAATTATTTATATTTTAATCTAGAGATTTTTACTAGTAATATTTCTTTATCATCCTCTATCATTCGTAATATTCTCTAATTATTATTATTATTATTATTATTTGATATTTTATTTTATCACAAATTAACAGTTGAAAACTGAAAGTGGTATTCTTTTATTATAAAATAATCCTGTAATATCACCTTATCAGGTAACGTTTTGTAAAAAAATAGTGAAATATTTTATGAAAACCATATTGAAAACGGTATGTAACTTAACAATTTATGATGAGCTTTACACAAAATTATTTCCAGCCAAGCCTGTTATTTGGAATTAACTTTACATGATGTTACTAAACAATCTGGTGAAAAACATGAACTATTTTTAAAGCAACCATAAATTGAATAAAAAAAAAACAACAACAACAGTATATTAAGTTGCAATGTTGACTGAATAAAGATTTTATTAAAATCTAAGGATCTTTTAATTGAGTAGATTTAAATATTATGTAAGTCTGCTTATCCTTAAGAAACAAAAATTAATAGCGTAACAATCTAAAACTTTAAAAATAAATTTACATTTCAACTAAACAAATTATAAATAGTAAACGGATATTTAACTTTCTTGTTAGAAGCAAATCATGCATTCTTATTTAGTACCCAAGAAAGAAATTTAAGTATTTTTTAAAAAACTTGAAGTTTTTATCAAAAACCCAGGTGAAAAACATAGCACACATTTTTAATGAAAAACATAGGTGGGCTGGGCATTTTCAAACCTTATTTATTACAGATCAATTTAATTTTTATTACAATCATGAATTTTACAAAAATGTCACTGCTTTCAATCAATTTAGTTACTTATTACACATTGAAATATTATACAAATTAATTAAATTCTTCAAGATTTTAGGCAATAGTTTTCGTTATGGATTCCAGTTCAAAAAATATTTCTGATACTTCTTTTTTTTAGGGTTTTACTTAATTCCTATAAGCAGATGACCAGTAGAACTGAATTTCTTGAATTCTGTCAATTTTGAAGGTTAGTGTGGGTCTTCTACTTAGGTACCCTAAAACTGCCCCCCCCCCTAAAAGAATTATGAAAGAACTAATATATTAATAAAAGGACATGCTTTCTTCCCCTTGGCTGTAGCCCCCTCAAACACATTCCTTTTTGTCTCCCTAAAATGATGCATGCCCTCTATGCATGGTCTAATTCTAGGTGATAAAAGAACAGTATTTTGTTTTAAAAAAATGTTCCGATCTACTCTAGTGATGCTGAAAAATTAAGGATTTTTAAAAACCTTGTACCAAAATTAAGTACTTTTAAGGGCCCTTATATTCCAAAATAAAAATTAAGCAGTTTTTAAGGACTTTTAAGGACCGTGGGAACCCTGATAGAGAGAGATAAGGGGTTTTAATTTAAAAATATTGAGATAATAATAGTAAAATATATAACAGGCAAGTAATAATAAGATGTTCTCTCTATATTAAGCATGTTTCATTATGATAAATGTTTAAATACTTTTTTTTAAAAATGATCACTGTTCAAACCAACAATTAAATTTCTGAAGGAAAGCAATTTTATTCAAATGGTTGAATCAATATTATTTGCATTGACTGAAGTTAAACACAAAGATAGTTTCTTTAATCAATATGCAATTTAGCTGGCCACAAATGTAAGAGTTTACTTCTTTATCACATTCCCTGCGGCAGAATTTGTTCAAGCTATCTGCGGCAAAACTCTCTAGCAGTAATATATTTCTGCAAGATACTTTTAATAATAACAAACATATATGTTACCCATTTAAAATAACAAAAGCGCTATGTTCAAAAAGAAAAAAATATACATAATTTTTTAATTGAACATGTAATAATTTTTATTCTATGGGTGATATTCTCGCATTTTGATGGGGGGGGGGGGAATGCACTAATTATTTCCTTCTTCGCATTTTGTAAAAAATCATCACAATAAAAAATAATTAAATATCACGAAATCCGTAGTAGCAATTGCCGAAAAAAAAAAAGATCTATGACCAAATCACGAGAATCAGACTTCTCAAAAAGGGATTACTCAAAAGCGTGTTTCGTTTTTGAGATTAGGGTGTTGTAATAAATATCCCATAAAAAATATCGAATATTAAAACTATGGAGAAATTAATAGCAATGACTGCCAAAAACTCGATAGAATCAGTGTCTTAAAAAGTAAATACTGAATTGCACGATTTGAATTCTCCACATTGCTCGAAATATGTCGGGATATTTAAAAACCACATGAAAATCAATGTCAATAACTGTCGAAAATACAATAAAAACATTATATCGATTTACGATACTATAGGCGTAAGTTGTGAGTGCCAAAAAGTGATTAACTAAATGCATGATTCAAATTTTACGTGTAAATTTCTGTAGAAAAGAATTTTTTGCTTTTCAAAAGAAAAAATAATTCTGCGGGAATATTGCTGTGATTCTGCAAAGGGGATAACCTTTGATAGTGCAGTCAAATCCTCGACCATCCAGAATCCACCCAACTGTAAAAAACTTGAGTTTATCTTTATGATTAAGAAGAAATGTTATTTTTGCCCTCATTTGACTTTTGATGGACAAAATAAAGTTTTATTACAGTGCTTGTACAAAATAAAAGTTGACACTTCAACTAGGGAAAAATATGTTTTTTAAAAAAAAGCTATAATCACTAATTAACGAATCTTAGAGCATAAAGTTTGTTGGAGATTTCAACTTATGTTCAACATAAAAAAAATAAATAATGGAATACTGAACATAAAAAAAATTTTCTTTTACTTTTTATACCTTTCTTGACAGAGAACATTTTTTTTTCTTCAAAAAATGCTGAAAAATTATATACTTGTGGTTTTAAGTGTTTAAAACTAAGCGAACTAAGCAATGGTAATCAATCAGGTTAAAAAAAAACAAATTGCAATTGAACCTTATTTCATTACTTAAAAGTAGTTGCAAGAAATTTCTACAAACCAGCAGTTTTTTTATTGCATTACTTTTTTTATTGTTGTTAAGCAATTAGTTCTGATCACTATTAGTACTTCATGACTTGCATCAAAGCTTTAATTGGTTGTTAGATGGGGATATAAATGTAACATGATGGAAAAATCATATTTTGGGGATATCATATTTCATTCGAACACAATTGAAAACAAGTAATATAAAAAAAAACTTTAAAGTCAGTTCCTACTTAGGTAAATAAAGAAAAATTTTACTTTAGTTACTTTTATTAAATAATTAAAATATTTTTTCTCCCATATGAAACCAAAATTGACTCATGAACTAATATTTTAAAAAAACTGTATTAACATCAAGTGTCCTAAACTACAAGTTCAAAAAAAAATGTATTTGAACTTGAGTGGATGAATATAAAAAGTATTTTATGAACGATTGAACATTTGAACAAGATTGAGGGAGAGTGTGAAATAATACTAGGAATTGAAAAAAGAACAAAAATTAATACATCATAATTGCTATAATTTTTGACTTAAGACATGTTAACACTATGTATTTATGTTATAGAGATATTAATATCAAATAATACCTTAGGAGGTGGTTTTGGCTGGCTTTGGGCATCGATGAGAGCACCGACACAACTAACTATATTATCAATTGTTAAGCCTGAAAGACCATTTTTCCTATTTTTTCGAAATTCTCTGATAAAAGACATCAGTTCCACCCTAAAAGAAAAAGAGAGCACTAAGTCACAAGAATAATGCACTGAAACTTTGGTAATAGGTAATTGAGAATTTCAATTTGAGGTAGCTAATGCTGTTAACTGATTTAACTAAATTATTGTGATGATTAAATAATTATTAAATAATTAATTAAACCAGTGATTGAAATTTAAAGAAAATTTTATATATAAAAAAAAAAAAACAATATATGTCAGGGTGTGTAGCCAAATCTTTCAACAAAAAATAAGCACCTTTTAAGTACTTTCTAAGCACTCTATACATAAACAAAATGCAAAATAATTTTCAAAAACTTTACATGATCATGATAAAATAACTAGTTTCTGACAAAACACTATTTTCATGATTATATTAGCCACTATAAAAAGATCGAGAGATTCCATGATTCGATTTCAGTGGGTGGAAAATGAAGACTGACATTGAGAATATTTTGCAAAATGCAGTAGAATTGCACACAAGAGTGCTAAAATCTCACCGACCTCAGCTCAGAAGACGCATATGCGGACTCACAAGTATTTCATCAAACATGTAAAATGATTGGTGCTTTTATACACTATGAACTGATGGTAGGCCAAAATGGATTGTGGTTGAAGGAATTACGAAAACATTGAATAGAACAATGTGAAAAGCACGTTTTTGCATCATATGTGGTGAAAATCAACAGAGTGAAGAAAAAAAATCACATTTTCAAAGAGGGAAAATTAAGCACTTTTTAAAAACACCTAATGAGAATAAGACATAACGAAACACCTTTAATAATACAAAACAAAGAACCTTTAAGCACTTTTTAAAAACGCTACGGTCCATGTATGTGCTATTTATATTACTTGCATACAACATTAGGGTTGGCACTCAAATCAGGAAAAAAAAATTCCTTTTGTTTTCCCTGTACATATACCCCTCACAAAAGAGCACAGTAATTGTGCTTCCTCTTAATATATTGCGTAGAATATATACAGGGAAAACACAGGGGATTTTTTTTTCTACAGATTTGATTGGCAACACTGTAATGATAGATAGTTTGATTTCTTAAATAACCACAGATGCTTTGAAAAAGGCCCTTATTCTTTAACACAATATTGGAAAGGCTCTAAAATGTTTCCACTTATGTAGAAATGACATCTTTGAGCAAAACCAGAAGATGGAAAAAATATAGATAGTTTGATTTCTTAAATTAACCACAGATGCTTTGAAAAAGGCTCTTATTCTTTAACACAATATTGAAAAGGCTCTAAAATATTTCACTTATGTAGAAATGACATCTTTCAGCAAAACCAGCAGATGGAAAAAATATTGTAGTTCACTTTTACTACAATATCTATGGAAATATTTCATGACTTCATAAATCAACGTGAAAAAAAAAAAGAAAGAGGATTTTTAAGTTATGGAACCTTTAAAAAATTCACATTCATGAATTCTCCTGAGAAGAGAAAAAAACTTACTCATCGTATGCAGGATATTTTGATTTTAATTTTCCTAATAACTTGTCACAACTTTTTCCAGAAGATCCTTTGGTTGATGTGCCCTGCAAAAAGTAAATTAAATATTTTAATACTAAAAGAAAACACAAATATTTTTAATTCTAAATAAATAAAACTTCTTCTAAATGAAAAAAAAAACGCACTAAAAAGCAGCAGAAATTTCAGAAAAAAGTAGTAATAAAGGAAACGAAGGAAATAAAAATATGACCATCGAAGCCGACGTCTTCAGGGGGTACCGGTCTCGGTAGCCATAAAAACAAAACCATTTCTAATTGAAGGAGAAGCAAATGCTTAAATTAACTCCCTCAGTACCCTGATGGTTTTGTATAGAAGTCCAGGAAACAACATGAAATACAAATAACAAATCAAGAAAAGAAACTCAAACAAAATCATCAGAAAAATAAAAACAAAATCAGAAAAATAAAAATTCTTTCTTTTTATTCTCCATCTGCGCATTGTAATAGAGGGCGTTGTTTTCTTTAGTTTTTAGTGTTTTCTTTTCATTCGGCTTGCTTGTGAAATCGATGTTTGACCTGTGACTAAGTGAGTTTTTATTTTTCTGATGATTTTGCTTGAGTTTCTTTTCTTAATTTGTTATTCGCATTTCACGTTTTTTCCTGGACTTCTATACAAAACCATCGGGGTACTGAGGGAGTTAATTTAGGCATTTGCTTCTCCCTCAATTAGAAATGGTTTTGTTTTTTTGGCTACCGAGGCCGGTACCCCCTGAAGACGTCGGCTTCGGTGGTCATATTTTTATTTCCTTCATTTCCTTTATTAAATATTTTAAATTATTTTCCACAACACTCACTTATTTTTAAGACAACACTTATTTATTTTTAACTTATTTTTCTTACTTATTTGCAGTAACCATGTAAATAGAATACCTCCACACATTTGACATAATGGTCTTTCAAATTTTAACACTTAAGAAGTATGTGTGGAGAGGCGTTACCGACAATGTCAACCTTCATCTATGAAAAGGTATCCCACCATACAATCGAGTTAACATGTCTAGTGAATTGGAATTGTATTTTTGTAGTGGTAGATACACTACAAAGTAATTGTTAACATCATTGAGCCCTGGACGTCTATGTTTTCCTCTACTTCTGGCTGCGAATAGATTAGCCATAAAAATTTGTTTTAAAGAAGAAGTCATTCATCCAAATGACAAGTCCACTATAGTTGACTTCATTTAATAAAATGAACTATTTAACGTTCTTGAACATTTTTTTTAATGTTACATATTATAAGGATAATATTGCAGATTAATTTTTTATTACAGATGTGTTAAGTTCGCGATTGTTCGTATAGTAATGTTTTTTTCCTCATTAAGTGTAGGTGGGTACAAGTGCCAATATTAAAAATTATTTTTATTTAAAATGTTACACAGATTTTTGTAACATATCATCTTGAATAGAAAATAAAACCATATGTTTAGCTCGTAAAATATATTGCTTTCAATGAATAAAAAAGGTTTTAAAGTAGTTTTTGCACAAATTGTACCAAATAGCAAATACAGAGTGAGCCAAAAAAAAAACCATGGATAAGTACTGCATAATATATTTTCATTAAGCAGAAGAAATAATTCAAGGTGATTATACATCAATAATTTTTTATATTTCTTTACATTTCAATAAAGTGCCATTTTATAAGTTTATCTAAACAGTGCTTTTTATAAAATTCATGGATATAATTTTCTTTAAACCAATATCTAAAGTCAAATGTTTAAATAATGTTGCTTGTTTTGAATTAGCATGACTTATTTTAAGAGATATTCAGTATTCGCAAATGCAAAATTGTCAAATTTCTTGTTGTATATTCTTCAGAAAAAAACTAGATAAAATACTTTAAATTTTATTCTTTTTTTTCGTATTAGAAATTAGAATATTTAAAGAATTCCAATCTAACCACATGGTTTCTAAATTAAGATTAGTTAAGTATTTTTACAACTGGGCAATTCCATGTTGTCGGAAGTAAAAAATGAACATAAATTTCGTATAAAAATTTTCGTATTTAACATAAGTTAAGTTTATAATCATCAAATTTTTATATAAATATTCAGAACATCATACCCAGTACCTATCGAAAAAACTATTTGTTTTATAAGAACTGATTATAATAAGTTCAAATGAAATGGATTAAATTGTTGCTGTCTGATGTAAAACGCACAAAAACGAAAAAAGATTATTCATTAACAAATTGCAAGATTATTCATTCACAATCTAAACTTTCACATCACGAATTTGTTTGTAATTTAAATGCAAACTTGACTAAATTAATGCAAACTTTTTTTACTTCAGTGTCAGACATATATTTTTCAAGTTGGATATAAATTTAAGTGAATGATAATTAATATAATGACTGAAAATTACTTCATCCTAATACTATAAGCATTATTTTTCAATCAAATAGCCTCACTGAATTCCAATTGTCTTCGATTTCCTGTTAGAATGAGTGGATCAATGCGTTTTATAACATTTTCCATCTTGCAAAAGTTGAAAAATCACTCATTTTAATTTTAACTCTTCAATGTATATTAACAACAACACAAATAAAACTCATATTTAAACAATATTTCTTAAATTTAATTATTTTAAAAATCTTGGAATAAAACACTGTTGCTGAATTTTTTTTGTTTAATTTTTTTTGTTTAATTTTTTTTTAAATATGGGAAGAAATGCAGAAAAGTTGTATTATTTTTATATACAGTAAAAAAAAATCTACTGAAAAAAATTTCACTATAATAATAAAATGTGTAAAAGGAAAAAAAAATTTTTTTTTACTGTATTATTAGCCTATTACAATTTTTTATCGGGAAAAAAAAAAAGATCGTGCAGGAAAAATGATAATTCAATAGCTTTTTTGATTGCATGCAAATAATAGCTTAACCCCGTCCTGCCCCCGTCAGGGGGCATCCGCAGAATGTAAGCTCTAAGCGCGCATACGCGACCTCTCAGCGAAAGAAAAAGAAGATTCAAAAAGGTAGGCTTGGTGACGATCCATGGCAACACCAGAAGCCCTCAAAGAATTTAGTGAAATCTTAAAATTAACAATAGTAGTTACTCAGAAAATAGAATTTAGGAGTTCGAGTGTTTAAAGATAATAGGCAAAGCATAAAGTAAAAAAAAACATTGAAAAAAGGTAACTAACATATTGTGATGATGAAAAGTACCAGAATTTGTCCAAAGTCCATGAAAACAGATACAATTTCAAAAAGAAGAGTTACGGCGATCGTAACATTAGAGATGTGGTAAATAAATAATTGAAAAATTTTTTTTAGATGAATTCTAGAATAAATTTTTATCCTTTTCAGTTTTATTTTTTTAGTTTCATTTGCCAATTACAGGCTCAATAACTACTAAAAAATTTTATCCCTGTTTAGTTTTATAAATTTTTCATTTATTAATATTTAATTTGAAATTTGAATTTAGTGTCTTAAAAGATAGCAACATTAATTCATTAAATATCATTATTTTGCTTAATTCTAAATCAGAGATGTCAGCACAATTTTTGTAGGAGTCTACGCAGTAGTAAGTATTTTTTTTGAACATTTATTTTGTTTTTTCCCTGCAAAGGCGCGAATTGTACCAGTTTGATGTGTTGTAGATGTTTATAATATTTCTTTTCTAGACGAGCTCCCAAAGATATTACGATTATACGTTCAAGATTAATTGTTATTTTTCGATAGCTATTATCATTAGCTATATTAATTTAGAGGTGAGTCATTTTTTATGCTTTGTTGTCAATCGTTGTGCTGAACTGACTGAAATCGTTTTCATGTTCAGTTAACTAAATAATTATTGCTGCCATCTTTTAATATCTTGATTACTGTTAAAAAATTTAATGTCAGTTTATTTTTGTAAAAACACTTACTATCCATTATGTTTATTGTTCAAGATATTAAGCTGAATAAAATGTTCTTCAGATTCATAATTTGTCAGGGTTTAAATTTTACAATGTATTATTATTTTTTTCTTTCTCTTTTCTTTTTTGTTAATTAATTTTACCTGGTACGCCATTTACAATCACGCAATCCCATTTACTTAAAAATTGAATAGGATGAATGTTATTGTTGTAGTTTGCCATGCAAGTAGGTTTATTATTTTTTTCAAAATTTTTTTTCTCTCCTTTACTAAAAAAATAAAAATATACAAAAAGTAAATTACTACAGAAAGTTCTGAAATTTCCCCTCCAACATTTTTCAATCTCAAAGCAAAATGATTGATTTAAAATGTTCTAAATAAAGTTCAAATTGTTTCTCAAAAAATTAAAACCCACCATGGCTCTTTTTGTAACAGTTGGGCTAAAGAGGCCGCCAGAGCATGATTAAACAATCTAACAGATAAATTTTAAGAGAAATGGATTTTACCTGACTGGAGGCCAGGGAGGTTGAAGAAGCAGATTTTTCTGAATCTTGTTTTCCTTTGTACTACATAAAAACATAATTTTTTTTAAAACTTAAATGTAGAGGACATGCGAAGAAGAAAAAGTCTTAAATCAAAAGATAATACTTACATCCAATTCCAATGACAGATTATCACAGCTTTTGTTAGATGCAGCACCACCTATAAATGAGACAGAATATAACAAAAAGGGAAAATATTTTTATTGGACTTAGCAATGCTCCAAATGGTGGTTCGGCCACATAACTGAAACTAAAAATAAAAAACAAACCTTAATAACTGCATGCCATCCTATTACTTAGATGGCTGATCGGGAGATGACCAACAATTTATTACGGTGATCTGATTTAAATTTTAGTGAGTTGTTCTTTTCCCGTGCTGTTTTCTACCAAAAGATTCCTAACACAGAGATAAAAAAAATATAACTGCATGCCATCCATTTTGCAATGATGGCTCATTGTGACTATGCTTAGCCAAATCTCTCAGTAAAAAATAAGCCCCTTTAAAGCACTCATAAAATATTTTTTAGCATTATAAACATTAAAAAAAATGCAAAATAATTTTCAAAGACATAATAAATTTTCATGAATAATTTTCATGATCATGACAAAATAACTAGTTTCGGACAAAGAACTAGTTTCTTGATTATATTAGCCACCATGAAAAGATCGAGAGGTTTTTCGGTTCGATTTCAGAGGGTGGAAAATGAAGCCTGAAATGGAGAATATCTTGCAAAATGCAGCAGAGATGCACATGATAGTGAATCTCACCCAGCTCAGTAGACCCACATTCAGACTCCCGAGTATTTCATCAAACATGTAAAATGATTGGCGCCATCACACATTAAGGACCGAAGGTAGGCCAAAATGGATTGTGGTTGAATGAATTGTGAAAACGTTGAATAGAATAATTTTAAAAGCATGCTTTTGCATAATACATGGCAAAAATCGACACGGTAAAGAAAAAAATCTCATTTTTGAAAAGGGAAAATGAAGCACTTTTTCAAAACTCCCCATGAAAAAAGCACCTTTAAACACTTTTTAAAAACGCTATGCACCATGATTTTAGTGGATCACAGTCAGGCATCTGTCCAGGGCAAATTTACTACCGTTTAGCGGTACCTTCACAAATTCAACTTAAGGAAAAACAGTAGTTTCACAAAATACTTTTTCTTAAAATTTTATTTATGTATCCCGTAAGAAATGATAAATTCATATTTTTGTATTGGTTTTTTAATATAATTTTTAATTTCCACAAATTATGTCTAAATTTTCACAAAATAGGTACCTCTCAGAAAAACCTAGATCAAAAGATTCCTAACGGAAAAAAAAAATAAAAAAAATAACCGCATGCCATCCTTTTGCAATGACGGCTGATCGGGATAAGACTGACAATTCATTATAGTGATCAGATTTAAATGCTAGTGAATCATAGTTAATTTCATGCGTTGTTTTCCACCAAACGATTCTTAACACAGAAGAAGAATTCTCTCACCATTTGGGGAAAAGGAACTAGATACAGGAGGAGGTATTGCGGCACAGCTTGTGGAAAAAGTCGAGGCTACATTCTCTTTCACAGTTTTTGGTAGTGATACGGATGTTGCTGCAGGGACAGTTACAGGAGGTTGTTTTACAGGATCACTCATACCAGGAGGAATGCCTTGAGGTGGAGTGTTGGAATGAGAACTAGCAACCATCATCTGAGCAGCATTATACATAGCCATAGGATTATTCATAGCCTATAATTGGAATCACACCATTGAAGACAAATTTGGATAAACACCATATATATAAGGTTAAAGAACAGAGATTTTTTAAATTTTTGTCGAATTTGACGATAATTCTCTACAAAATGATTTTCTACATCTGATTAAGAACTTTAAGACAAAAAAAATAAAAAAATAAAAAACAACCACAACATGAAATTTTTTTATTTCAATATATAATGAATATTTAGAATCCTTTTTTTCCCTTTCTTTTTTAACATAAGCATTCTTTATTTTAGGTTTCTTAGTTTATAAATAACGATTTTTCATTGAAACTTAATTTTTTGATAAAAATTGTCAAATTTTCTTTTGCATATTTTAAAGTTAGAAGTAATATCATTCAGAAAAGTATGGAATATAAAGTTTAAATAGACCTTTCATATTAAATCATTAAATTTAGTAGAACGATTTATCAGGCACTAGGTTTTAACTCTAATTACTAGATATTTTACAAATATTTTTCAATATGTTTTGGATGTTCCTTCTTTAAAAAAAAAAAAAAAAANAAAAAAAAAAAAAAAAAAAAAAAAAAAAAAAAAAAAAAAAAAAAAAAAAAAAAAAAAGATATTCCATTATGTTTTTAATTGCATAAGAAAGAATATCAAATTTTTTTTATTTTTAAAATTTAATAAGATACAATAAGCAAAGAATGTTACCATGCTACACTGAAGAAATCTCCAGTGCAACTGATGATTGTCATGTTCTGCCAGCAGTTATTCACCTCAAATAACAGCGCCGCCTATAGGTCGTTGTGTTTGCGAATTGAAAACCAGCAATGCTTTCTTTTAAAAAATAAGAACATAAGAAAACATTGTAGATAGTGTTGAACTGGATAGGAATTTCAAACTACAGCTCCAGACGAATTTTAAATAGGTTTGCTCTGAGCTCTCTTTACTAAACTATGCTTTGTTACCTTACAATATTTAAAAAGAAATAAATTTATATGTTGTGAAGGAAGTATAAACAAGGGTTAGTGTTCAGTTGTTTCAAGTCGTATAGTTAGAAGCCGAACAACCTAAAAGATTCATCCCTCAAAATACGCTGCAGAATATTTTATTTTTCTGTAAAAATCATAAAAAAAGAATTCTATACCTTTGCAGACAAATTGATATGTTATTCACGCAGATATTTTTTTGGTGAAAAAATTGAAACCTTCCAAACAAACTTGTGTTTCAGCGACTATCTTACGGATGTGCTACACCTGCCTGATAGATTGTTTTGGGTGTTAGATTTGAAAAGAGAGAAAAACAATTGCTTATTGTTTATCAATGAGGATGAAAAATAAACTGCAGACACTGTGATAATCTGGAGTGCTAGATGGCATGCCGGAACACTTTTGCGCTGCAGAGCTTATTAGTTGCACCCATTTGATTAAAAAAAATATATAAGCAATTTTTTTCCTTCTTCATATTCCACAAACTTTGTCAATTTGCATTTAGAAAATTCAATCATAGCAAATCTAAAACAATTCTTCGAAAATATTTAAAAAACTTTTTTGTCCAACTCTTGGGAAAGATAAACTTTATTGAACTAGGCATAAAAATGTTTACATTTCATTATTCAATGTATTTCTAAATGATAAAAATACCCATTTTAAAGAATCAGCCATAGTTCTCAAGTAATAAAATTTGAAAAAGTTCAATTCGTGAAAACAGAAAGAAAAAAAGAATATACCGGATTGGTAGCAGGGAATTGTGTCGTAAAGCAAGGAATTTCTGGTAGCTCCTTAGATTCAATAGGTGGCAAAGATTCTACATGTGCTCCATTATTCACAGCATTTATTTGTTCATCATATCTCGCCTATTAGAAATATTTAAGTATGAATTTATTATCCTTACTTAAAAAGCAAACTTCAAATAAATTTAAAGCATTTGATCATTTAACAGTTTTCAGGAAATAAATACAACATAAAATCCATTATAAGCTCAAAAATATTTTTATCATACAGGGTTGTCACCGAAAAAAATGGAACAAAATAGTTGCTTTTATCAGCCTAAAGCATGAAAATAGTTGCCTAAATAAGAACAAATTTTTTTAAGTAATATGACAATCTTAATGATAATCTTCATTGCATTAAATTTTTATGAAAAAAATTTAGCATATTTACAGAAAATAAAATAATTTTAATTGCTAGAATTTATTAAAAAAAAACTTTTTTATTAAAAAAAACATAAAATCTGTTTTCTTCATTAAAATGTGTATAAATTAAACTTCCTCAATTATTTTAGCTGATGTCCTGTTATGCAGAAACAATATAGATTATGATTCCTACAAAATATAGATTAGGATTCATACTCTCTTTTTCTCAAAACGCATGAAATCTATTGCAGTATGCAGACATTTTAATATAATTTTACCTAATAATAACAGACATGCGATTTCTGGAAGAAGGAATTATCTAAATTTTTTTTCTTCTCAATTTATAGATCTTTTTTGCATACTGAAATATTTTTCTCGAACAATATATAACTTTTTATGCACGAAAGTAACATTTACAAAATTAAAGGAAATTTTTTTTTTACATACATTCTTTTCATCAACATATAAAATAACATTATACATTAAAAAAATTACACATTCCTCCTTTTTTGCACTTTAGTAGATTAGAATTATATAGATTAGTATTTAGCAAACTTCACATTAAAAAAGGGGTCAAAGAAAAAAAAAGATTTTAGAAACTGTTTATTGCAATAATTAAGAAAAGATAGATGGTTAAATCATGTGTATTTATGAGAAAATCACACAAATCGAACAAGTCAAAAAAGTTGTTAATTAAAAACATTGAGATTTAAAAAATATGCAAAAATTAGCAGTGATTTATCACGTCAAATAGTGAATACTTAGGTGTGCAATTATCGTATCATGAAATTGGAATTTTGGAAAAATCATGCAAACATCAACAGCAATAATTGCCCAAAACAACCCTGATCATAACTCTGCATGGTTTTACTGCAAATGGAGTGTGCAAAAAGGAAGTGATTTGAATTTCTCATTTCCTAACATTTTTTGAAAACATCCGAATTTAAATAACCATGAGAATATTTAACGAAGAAAAAAGTAAATTGAAAAAACAGTGGTATTGTAGCTAAAGCGTCTAATAAATGTACGAATTGAATTTTGTGCGTCGTAATAATAATGTATGAAATATCTCAATATCTAAAAAAAAATATTGAGAAAATTTGTAGCAATATTAGTCTATAAAATGCATAGATTTACAATCGTATCAATGCAAATCAAGCGTATCAAAGTGATAACTTAAACGCGCCATTTAAAATTTGTGTATCGTAATAACATCGGAATTGAAAATTATGCCATCAAAGTTGGAACAGGGATTTCTGATGACATCAAGAGCATTGTAAATTATTCACTGAAAAGTGCAATTCAAAAATTCCATGTCGTAATATCATATTAAAAATTAATTATAGCGAAATTTAAAAAAAGAAGTAAATATGAGTTAAATAATTCTTTTGCAACTATTTGGAATTTGAAACAAAATTCAGGATTCCCAATTTCAGAAAAAAAGACCAAATTTCAGAATAAGAAAATCCAGACCATATTTACACCACGTCATTTTTAATCAGAAAGCTTTGATCTTTTTTCTGCGCAATGACAAATATTACGATTTGGTGGAAAAAAAATATCATTGAATAAGGCTTCACTAGAAATTTTTACCACAAATAATAGTAGTAGATGTTAGAATTAATTAACTCAAATCTCAATAACTGATTACTGTTACAGGTAATTCTAAGATTAATACCTTTCCAGGTATGATGTACACATTTTCCAGATTTTTGAAGAAAAAAAAATTAACTTTCCTGACAACTCCAGGCTTTCCCTGACCCATGGGAGTCCTGAATATTGCTACTCATTAAACCAGTGATTCTCAATCATTGGGCCGCGGCATCTTTGTGTGCCGCCAAATATTGGAAATGATACAATAAAAATTATAATGCTTTTTATTATGAGTAAAGTTTAAATTAAAGAAAGTGTATATATATATATATAGATATTATTATTATATATATAAACTTTTTATAATTTTCCCACGCTTTAACCACGTGAACATCTTTGTCGGTGATCGTCTTGTCTCCGACAATCTTAAAATAAAATGGAAGTGTTTAAATTTTCTTTGACACACAATTTTAAAAAAATTTTCTGAAATAAGTAGGAAATTTAATAACTATTAAAATTATTAATTAACAAAGGAAAGCAAACTAAATATTAACTTTCAAACGGAAATAAAAGCTAACCATTACAGTAAGCTATGCAATTACTAAACAAATTAACAATATATAACTAAAAACACAAATATATAAAAACAAATTAACAAAGGAAAACTAACAAAAAAAAATAAGCTAACAATTAAAAATTAGCAAAAAAAACTAGTTAACAAGAAATCACAAAAAGTAACAGTTAATGTAAAAAAAAAACTAACAGTTAATATAGAAAACAAGCTAACAATTAATAACTAGCAAAAAAAAAAAAATAACTGTTACTAAGTAATAAAAAAATAGTCGAAAGAAATAATTAATCCCTTAATAAACATGTTTTTGTAGTACATATTATTTTATTTCACACTCAAAATTATTATCACAAACTATTTAACAGTGTATAATAGGTAAGTAAACAATTAGTCTAATTTTTTTTCATTGTGTGACGCCAAATTTCGAAATCGTTAAAAGTGTGCTGCAACAAAAAAAAGGTTGAGAATCACTGCATTAAAACCTAAGTAAAAAAAAAGATAAAAACAGAATTTTTTTTAGCTAACAATATTTTAAATGTTTACCATCCCAAACTTATTTTTTAGATTACTAATTTTATACCTTTTGCTTGCATCAGTAGTTCCTTAATTCTAGCTGAAGTTATTATGGAATTTTTATCTGAAATTGTCTTTTTCTCTAACAAATCAGAGTAAAAAAAAATAGTTATTGCGCATGAATGAGAACTTAAATAGAGAGAGAAAAGAAAAGAGGCTGGTGCAGGCAGAATAAATGTCTCGTTAGCAAGATTTTGCGCAAGTAAAAAAAAAAATTTAAATTTTCGGAATAATTTCGGAGGAAAATTGAATTTCCTCAAGTCAACAGTGTTCAAATTCACGGAATTTTGCAAATTAGTGAAGGAATCACACGCCTGTAATAAGTTTTCAACTTTTGTTATCCAACATAAATGTTACCAGATTTAACTTAAAAAACTTTAATTATTATACCAGCCAACTACAGCACTTGTTAAAATCAAGTTTTTTTGACAAAGGATTTTAATAATAAAGGACTAAAATATGTAAAATAAAAACAAAGTGAAAGTTTAATTCTGAAGTATACAGGATTCACATAAAAAGTCCCTAAAGAACATAGGTTTTCTTTTAAGTATATATTTAATAGAAGCTATTATCCTTCAATAGCAAGAGCTGAAACAAATTTAAGATTTTCTAACAACATAAAATATTTAACAATTGCACAATTATATAAGCAATCTTTCTCACAAAAAAGTAAAATAATTTACCTGTAAATCTAAACGGATGTCAGCAAGCTTCTTAATGTAACTGCTAATACTAGTGTGCAATACTTCCAAGTTTTTTTTGTATAAAGGATTAGAATTAACCCTGAAACATCAATAAAAATTAGACAAAAAGTTTAAGTGCCACACTAAAAGCAAAATAGATCAATCGATTTTTATTATTTTTTTTTTATATCCATCGTTGAACAGTCGACCCAATTTTGGGTTTATGACTACTCATGCCTTGTCATTTTGAACCCAATCCAGAAAACTCCTGGATCAGTACCCCCGGATGTATTGATTTGTTGTAGGAACCTGGAGGACTTTGCGACTTTACAGATTAAATGTGCATCAGTCACCATTTAATACACTGGGAGTCTTCAGTCGGCGGGCATCGAACCCACAAACTCTTGGACATGGGAACAGCACCCTACCAACCAGGCTATCCCGGCCTCCTCAATCAATAGATTGAAATAGGCAGCATGAGAGTATTGAAAGTGAATATAAAGTCAGGCTAAATTTGAACGTCTCCGAAAAAGAACAATGTACAGTGTAGTGTGCTTCGGCTACTAGGGATTCTCCTCTAAATGAACTGAAGTGAAGAAAATTCNATTTTTTCAGTTTTTAGAAATCTCACTTAACTTTCTGAAATCTCACCCTGTTTTTGAGAAAGGGTGAGAAATTCTCACCCATTTTTTTTTCTATGATGAAAACACTGATATAAAGTCAGGCTAAATTTGAAAGTCTCTGAAAAAGAACAATGTGCAGTGTAGTGTGCTTCGGCTACTAGGGATTCTCCTCTAAATGAACTGGAGTGAAGAAAATTCAGTCGGGTAAACCGGTTGGAAACCCATTCAGTCTCACTTCCCAACTGACTCGCTTGAAGAGAGGACACTTCTAATTTGGATTTATTTTTACAATGTAAGCTTTTAATTATCTATTTTAATATACATTAACCGCTTTCCTTATTATTCAGAGTCAACTCGGGTATCGATAGCAGAATTTGTCAGTAAGTTTTGCTTTATTGTGTTTTTACTCAGCTGGAAAGCAAGAAAGATTATCTGTTGTGATTGAAAGTTTTCAAATTTCTGTTTAGGAGTTCTGCTGTTGGATTGTGGAACAGCATTTGGTGTTTTGTGCGATTGTATATAATATGCTAGTTGCTGGATTTACATAGGAAGAAAAAAAAAAGAGAGGAAAAAATGGCGTATCACTTTACAGCAGGGGTGTCAAACTCGCGGCCCGAGATGAACACTTTTGCGGCCCAATCAATATATCCAATGCAAAGTAAAAATAAAATAGAAATGTGAATTAAAAAGGAAACTAGCATATAAAATTCTAATATACTTTATTTATAAACTATACGGATTATTTTAAATTGTACGTTCGAAAATATAAAATTCTAATTGGCTTGCGGCGTCTGCCATTCCAGGAATACTGCATCTTATCAAAAATACGCAGAAAAAATTTTAAATCTTAGAACAGAATTTGAAACAATGTTTAGAGATTTTAATTCTTTGGAAGACAAATTTTGTTTGTTTTCTTTGATTTTCTCAATAAATATAGACTCAGTACCCAGTAATATGCAANTAAATTGTACGTTCGAAAATATAAAATTCTAATTGGCTTGCGGCGTCTGCCATTCCAGGAATACTGCATCTTATCAAAAATATGCAGAAAAAATTTTAAATCTTAGAACAGAATTTGAAACAATGTTTAAAGATTTTAATTCTTTGGAAGACATATAGACTCAGTACCCAGTAATATGCAAATGGAAGTCATTGAGATTCAGTGCGACTTAAATTTGAAGACAAAATTCATTGAAGTGGGTGTGCCTGAATTTTACAAATATTTACCGGCAAGGTTTGAGAATACTCGAAAATTCGCATATGAAATTATTTCCATGTTTGGAAGTACTTATCAGTGCAAGCATTTTTTTCTGTTATGAATGAAAATAAATCTCCTGTCCGAAACCATATTAATAGCTCTCGTTGGGTCAATTTTGAAAGTAGTCTCGGCCAATAAAATTTCTCCCAAAATAGAAAAGATAGTAGCAGAGAAGAGATGTCAAATATCAAACAATAATTTTACTTTATATATGCTTATTACAATGTGCTATTCAAAATAAAAATATTTGTTTCTGTAAACACTGATTTTTTTTGAGGCCCACCTATTAAGCATTGTTTATTTGGCCCAAGTTTGCTTTTGAGTTTGACACCCCTGCTTTACAGCGTTCAAAAAGTATCACCTAGTGTTGTCCCTCGTTTAAAAAAACTATCATACAAAGACTAATATTTAGCTTTTTTCATTTGCCCGAGATAAATGTTGGATAGTAAACTGATTGTAAATTAAATGTTTTTTTTTTACAAATAAAAAAATTAAAAATTTCAACTTAAAACTTGTGTATTAAGTTTTGTTTTAATTCCCTCTATATATCAATAAAATAAAAAAATATGCTGATTTTGTGCACTTTTTTCAAAAAAATTGGTATGGTACGGAAAACGGTTAAACTTCCTTGACTTTTAAGTTTCCCCCCCCCCTTTTATTTCCTGTAATTGTATTAATTCCTTTTACTCATTCAGTAAAAATTTAGCATGTGATTCTTAACTTTCTTTTTGTTATCTTTGATAAAGAAAAATACAAAATACTTGATCAAATAATTTATATGTTTCGTTAATTCATAAATCTTGAAGGTTAAAATCCTTTTAAAATACATTCATAATCATCAACTGAAAAAAAAAAATTTTTTTTAAATAAAAATAGTAATAGTTTGTTGCTACATAGAAAAAATAACTTTGTATTTAAAACTTATACAGAGTTTTTTTTTTTTTTTAAATATTTCCTTAGCATTTAATTTAAAACAGCTGATTATGAATTATCTAGAAGTTCATAGCAAAAATTTCAATTGCTTCGCTCTTAAACCAATCTAAGTTCATAAAACAGAAACCTGTAAAACTTAAAAGCAGTTGACTATTGCAGGAAAAAACAGTTCGAATGAATCTGTTGCCAGATTAATAAAGAAGATAGTTGGAAGTATATTCTAAAAATAAAGCGCAATTTAAAAAAAAAAAAGATTATCTACAAGTTTTCTATCTATGAAATTCTTAAAATTATAGGCATTTCCCAATTTCATAGGTACAAATGATTAAAGAAATGATTAAATCCTTCATGAATAGATTAACTCATATTATAAATAATATGAAGTACTGCAATTTAACGATTTATTCTCAAAATGGGGCGTTATTTCAATACCAGTCTATAATTCATTTTTTAATCAATAATTCATTTTATAATTTATCTTTTAAACTACTTAAAAAATTTTTTTTTAAATTGGTCAAGAAGCATGAAAATCTATTTGTGAATTAAAAAATCTGAAAATTCAGAATAAATAAAATTTTTTATACTAAAGTGTAAAATTTTTCAAAATCATATCAATTCAAAATTATTATCATTATTAACAAATTAAAAATTATTTAATTCATCTATTGATTCCTCATTATATTACACATTTGTTTTTAAGTTGAATAACTTTTTGTGAAATAATTACTGCAGTTCAACAAATTATTCAAAAGATATGAAGAAAAATGTGACACATTAAAATAACATTAGAATAACTAATTTATGAGCTGTTATAACAGTTAAAGCATAAAAGTCAGTGTTTCTATCCCTATTTTAGATGTGTTAAATCCAAATTTATCAGCTTAAACATCATACACTTTAATATACATAGAAAATAGAGTAGGTTATTTGTAGATTGAACTCACACAAGCTTAAACAGGGGTGATTGTGAGTCAAACTCAAAAAACCCGGAAAATTTCTTGAGTAAAATCATTAAAGACGCATAATGTCTTTATAAATTTAAATCATTGATATTTTCAAAAACATTGAATTCTAAATAAATTATATACAGCATAATTTAAATGAATGATTATGTATAAGTAAATTTTTATCTCTCATCACATTTATCATTCTACCAGAAAAAATATTTACAAATGAAAGACGCCAAGTATAAATTCTAATTCTTCTTCTTGGGCACTACAGCCTATGACAGGCCAAGACCGTCCCAATAAGTTTTTGCCATCTTGATCTATTCTGTGCCATGGCCTAGTTCTAATATTTTTAAATAAAATATTCAAGAAATTTTATACATAAATGTGATCGATGATTTCTCAAAACTTCTGGACCTAAGATTTCTGGAAACTTCCGGAGCGCAGTTAGGGAAAAATCCAGAAATCCATATTTTTTCCGGAGCACAATCACCTCTGATTAAAAAGATTAAAAAATTACTTGCATGGGTAAAAAATCTTCTATTTCTTTCATCCTTGATTTAGCTTCCTTTAACTTGCTGTCAATTTTTGAAAGAAACATTTCTTTTTTAAACCAAAGCAATTGTACCTGTAATGCATTCAGACACAAGATTCATCAAGAAGATTAATTTTTAGAACACCTTATCAATTACACAGTATTTTTGAAAGACATCAAACAAGTCAGTTTTTTTTTTTAAATGATTATAAATGATCACGCTTATCATAATAAGATGTTTTTTTTTCTCACAACCAAACTCAGCCGTTAATGAGGTAAAGTCTAGATATGCTTTTAATTATTTTGCAAAATTTTTTATAACCATCTTTGAACAGCCGACCCGATTTTATGGGTTTATGACTACCAATGCTCAACTCCGCAGCCTTGTAATTTTGAATCCAGTTAAGAAGACAAGAGAACTCCTGGATCAAGTATTTAGAGCAATTTGCTTTCGCGGAGGACTTTTTGATGGAACTAACTCGCATTTGTGCTACATGGAGAGGAAGACCACGAAAACCTCCTACAGTTAGCTTGACGGCAAGGGGACTAACCCATGACCAAAAATTTAAGGAAAAGGAAAAAACTTTAATATTTTTAACTGTATTCATTTTTATATTCTATATCTCTTATGTATTCTATGTAATTTAAAAGCAGAGATGCTGGATTTTAGCTTAGAAAGGAGAGAAGTGCTTTTATTACATTTTTTTTCTTCTTCAAAAAATAGAGAAATGAAAGAAAAAGTTTGTAACGTTGTTAATTAATTACAGTGATCTCATTAGATATTTTGAACAATAGGAAACAGTAATTGATGACCTTTTTTAAAAAGTTTGGAGCAAAAACTTTTAACATCGGAAATTTTGGTCTGAAAAATATCATAGATATTATGTCATTGTTCAAAAGCCACTTTGTGTTGCAACAAATCTCAGCACAAAAAATTTAGTTGAATATAACTCTTATAAGAATTTACTCTGCTCTTCATTGCTCAGTATGAGTAAAAACAAGCCTTCATATATGAAAATATAGGTTTTAATAAATTTTTTTAGTTTTTGTTGAAACTAAATGTTATTATACTTTGATTAATATATTGATCTAATGATCTCAAGCATGTAAAATAAATGAGAAAATTACGGAAATGAATAATATATTAGTAATGTAACATACTAATTGTTCGAATAATCGAATTTCACGAATAATTCTTAAACAGATCAGCATAGAAATCACAAAATTTGGTATTTTGCAATTTTTTCAGCAGTTTTTTTCCAATGAAAAAAAGATATTGGGTTAATGTATGCATATTTACAGAATTATATTCAGGAAACTATAAAATAAAGTAGCAATTATACTCAATAAAAAAATGTCAATATTTTTGTGATTAAAAATAAGATTTCTGTATTTTAATTTTGATAGCATCACCAGGTGGTATAATAAATTCATTTTTATTTAAAATTGATTTTATTATATATATATATATTTATAATTACTTTGCTGGTTTTTCAAAACAAATGTTTCCTTTTTATTCCCGCATCTTAGAATTTTCGTCTTACTCCTTTTGATGAAAGAAAATGACTTGTTTTTGTTTTCCCATTTATTATATAATTATTTATTTTATTTTAACTTATCAATTTCAAACAAAAATTTGAAATTTAGCATAAAAATGTAAAAAAAAACGAAAATATTTAAACACATCTATTGTGATGTTGTTTTGTAGAGAAATAATACAGGGCGCATAGCCAGATTTTTCAACAAAAAAATAAGCACCTTTTAAGTATTTTTCAAGCACTCAAAAAATATTTTGAATCACTTTCGAAAAAAAAATCATAATTAGGATCTGTGCAGCAATAAACATTATTTTTTTCTATCATTTATAAACACAAAATCAATAAAATTCCAAAACATTTTCAAAAACTTTACATAGTCATGATAAAATAACTAGTTTCTGATAAATATTGCAAAGAAAATTGCTCATCATGCTTTTTTTTGTAATTTATAACGACAATCGACAGGGGCAAAAGAAAAATCAATCTCTTTTTAAAATATAGAAAATTAAGCACTTTTTACACATCCTGAATTAAAAACGCACCTTTAAATGCAAATCATAAATAAGCATCTTTAAGCACTTTTTAAAAACGCTATGCACCCTGTAATACACGAAGAAAAAAAAAATGAATTTTTGTACCTCAGCTAATTTTGCTCTTTTCATCAACTGTATTTTTTCATTCTCTGCATTCCTAATACTTGAATTATACTTTTCCAATTGTTGATCCAATGACTTCCTAATTGAGATAAATAAAAATAATTAATTATACTATCTCAAAAGTTTTTCGAGTGACAAGGGGACAATAATTGAAAAAAAAGTGAAGGATGTTAAATTCCTAAGATTGAAAATTTTAAAATTTAAAGGGATGCGTCACAAATTTATCTTAAAAACATTAACAAATTAAGATAGGATAAATTAATGTAAAAAATTAAATATGAATTTTTTAAGGAAATTGATCGACAAAGTTTGATCAAAAACAAAAATTGAGGTTTTGAAATCTTATGATTGTTTAAGGAAGAAGATTGTAAGAAATAAATGTAACCAATTAAATAATAGACGGTTTTCACTCATTTATCAAAGCAAAAATTGAGGACTTTAAAGAATTTTTTAAAAAAATTAAGGACCTCTAAAAAGAAGCATAATAAAAATCGAGAAAATATGAATCGGAATATTGGATCTTAAAATGCAAAAATATATGTAAAAATATATTACTTTAATGAACTTGTTTCATTTTGAAAGTCTTCAATACATCCTTCCATTTTCTTTACCTTTTCCTGCAAACTAGAGAAAATATTTAGTTAAAGAAAGCTGGATAATACTATAATTAATATTCAAAAATTGCATTCAATAAATAATGGAACTCGCTTATTTTTTAAAATTTATTTTAGAAAATATGCAAAATATTACATTTAGAAAGAAACAAAACTTTACTTCGCAGACGTTTTAACATGCAAATAGAAAGCAATATTTTCTCCAAGAAATTTAAAAACTCAGTGTAGAATAGTTCATCTATAGTCACATGAGTCCAATTGCCATTTACAAATCTCACATGTGATTAAGAATCAAATTTAATTTATACAGAAACAGGGTTGCCACACAAATCTAGAAAAAAAAATTCCCTGTGTTTTCCCTGTATACACAATACATTAAGAGGAAACACACAATCACTGTGCTCTTGACTGAGTTTTATTAGGACATCTATACTAGCTATAATTGCTGGAAAAACTAAAGAAATAAGGATCAGCTTAACCTACTTAAAACAAACAATGCACTACTTCATAAAATACATAAGATTGCTGAGTAAATGCTATATTGTAGTAAAGCAGAAATATCTTCTTTAAATATCCCATAGATTGACTTTTGAAAAGTCACCATTCTTTAAAGACTGAAATAAAAAACAAAATTCCATGTATTTTCCCAGTTTTTAAAGAAAAACTCAAAATTCTCTGTTATTTTTAGGTGATTTTTAAATTCCTTGTATTTTCTATGTTCTCCACTTGGAGTGGCAATCCTCTTAAACTCAGATTTACTAATTTTCTATGCCTTTTTGCATATTTCAATTCCATTTCACAATTTTCCCAAATTGATAAAACTCCCTAACTTTTTTCTATTCTCCCAGATTTCCATTTTCCGTGTTCGTCCTGCAATAGACACAAATTTACCACACACACAAGTTTCGGTAAAGTGTTAGTCAGATGCTACCCAGCCTAAATTGGTTGTTGATAGTTGTACACACTGCTTCCCACCTGTACCATGTAATTATTTTATTTCATCTCAAAATATGCCAACCTATATAATTGACGTAGATGATATAAGAATTCCAATGAAATATCTATAGTACCATACCAGTATCATAATCCTCAGGTTTACCCTTAAATTAAAAAAATTTAGTTACTGGTCAGCTGATCACTATCATAGTCTGAACACATTTTCACTGGTTTCCTCAGATATCACTTTAAGATTTTATATTAAAATAAGTTATTAAATTTAATAAAATGAAAAATTACAGCCCTAAGAATGTGTATTGCTTACAATTATGATCAAATATGTAGTTGATGCAATTTAGTGATAATAACAGTGCAAAACAGGAAATTTGAAAGAAAAAAACATATCTAATTGATATTAGTTCTGGTGCCGGGGAATACTCATAATTATTTTGATTATAATTAAAGCCACCACCATTAATTATAACTGATTATAATTAAGGTGGTCAAAATTAAATTTCAATGGTCCTAGGGACAAATAGATTGCCAAGAACTTTGAAGGCCATTAATTAACCACCTTATTATAATTAAGGTGGTCTATATTAAATTTTAATGGTCCTGGAACTAATGAATTGCAAAGAACTTTAAAGTCCATTAATTAACTACCATTAAGAGGCCATTAACTATTAATTAAAAACCTTAATTATAAATTATTATAATTAAGGTTATATAAGGTATTATAATTATTATAATCTAAATTTAATTTTAATGGTCCTAGGGACTAATAGATTGCCAAGATCTTTGAAGACCATTAATTAACCACCATTTAAGGCCTTTAATTAACCACTTTAATTATAATTAAGGTGGTCTAAATTAAATTTTAATGGTCTTAGGGACTAATTGATTGCCAGGAACTTTGAAGGTCATTAATTAACCACCTTAATTATAACTAAGGTGGACTAAAATAAATTATTATTGTCCTATGGACTAATGGATTGCCAAGAACTTTGAGCGGTGAATTTACATGTGTCTAAGAAACCTATTCCCTTATGTATATTCTTTGGTTTTACTGTATATCACTATCAAATATGCAAGTAATAAAGCAAATACCTTTGATTTTTAGAGCACCATATATTAATTTCCTTTTCCTGTTGGGAATTCAGTTCAGTAGCTGCATTCAGTGATTCCATTAAAACTTTATGTTCCCTCTCTAATTTCATCTCTTTGCTTTTGGTATCATTTTTGAGAGACTAGGGGGATGAAAAAAACATCCTAGATTTAAGACATGCCACAACAATTTTGGAAAAAGGAAAACTTGAAACTTCAGAAACATTTTTCAAAGTACATATTGAACTTAAAAAAAATAAATAGATAAAAAAATACAACTCAAAAGAATTGTATATAAGATTAAAGAGCAATAATATATTAAATAAAATTTCCTGTTAGCTGTTTCAAGATGTCATTAGTCATTGAAATTACAAATGGAATCAATTGTTACTAAGTATTTTTCAGATAATTTAATTCTTTTGTTTAAAATTGCTAATTAATTTTTTTGTTTGTTTGTAAAAACAGAATTTGATATTTTTGATTCAAACGAATGCAATTTAACCATATTTTTTAAAAATATACTTAAATTTGAGAACGAAACCTCAGTTCAGCATTTCAAAACTTCTGTGTTAATTGAATTAGAATATTTTTTTAAAGAAACCGTACTTCATCAACCAAAAATCCTAAAATTCAGTAAAATTTGTGTATCGTCTCACAGTTCAAAATTTTAAATTTGTCTATTAAATCTTTACATATTAAACAAATACACTGAATTACACAGAAAAAAGTATACTTTAACATAGCTGCAAACATGAATGGGAAAAACATGCAATAGATTTTACGAAATAACATAAATTTCATGATAATTGTAGCACAATGTACTAAATATTTTATGCATAGGGAATTTTATAGTCATCAAAATAGAAAAACTGCAATATTTTCAAGTTATGACGGATATTAAATGAACTTGAAATGTTATGTATTATGTTTGAGCATAATTTTGAATAGCAATAGGCAAATTCATCAAAGACAGTTAAAAAGTTTTTAAAAAAATTAATTTAAAAAGGGATTTCTGAATAAAAATAAGTTAAAACTTTTAGGACAAAAAATTTTAAACTGATCCATAAAAATGAGGCTAGCTTTATTATACATAATACTTATTTTAATATTCAAGCAAGCAATAATCTGTGCGCAAATTCTATTTGCAATAGGGATTTTTTAAGAGACTTACTAAATTTTAGGAAATTTTCTAAAATGTACAAAAACTAGGAGAATTTTTATCAAACCAGCAGAAAGGAAAATACAGTTGGCATTTATACTTTAACCACTAGCACAGGCGAAAAATGCACTATGTCTCATAATTATTATTTATCTCATAGTTATAATTTTTTATTTTTGTGACATAAACCACTGATGTCAAACAGGGTTGGCAAGTTTTTGATGCATGACGGTTTTTACCGTCACGTCAAAAACCCATAGTTTTGGTAAAACTGTATTTTTATTTGAGTTTAACTGCTTATAATTTAAAATTAATTCCTTTTTGGCCAATAAATTTAGAAAAAAAGTTGTTAAAAGATATTTAAGAACAAATTCTTGCATTTTCCCAACATGATTATATCAAAGCATACTAATTGAAGTAAAATATTAGGATGCTAAACAAAATTTTCAACATTTCCAAGCAATGAAAAATGCACAAAATTAGTCACTTGCTATCGTATGCTTCGGCACAGTGACTCTGACTACGGAACATGTAATTTTGTTTGTAATTAAGTTTTGTTTAATGTGCTTTTTCAACTGAATAAAAGCTTTTAACTTGACAAAATAGCAGTAATTCTTGACTTAGAGTTTGTTAGTAGTTACAAGTTTTGAAAGTTTTGTTTAGCTTATTTCTAATATTTAAGAAATGCCAAATTTTAAATTCTTCTTTTTAGTTCCTGAATTTATTAATAGTTCCAAGCTTTTTTGCTTGTTAGTTTATTTCTAACNACCGGTTTTTACCATGGTTTTTACCGTCATGTCAAAAAACCCTCTGTCAAAAACCCAGAGTTTTGGTAAAACTGTATTTTTATTTGAGTTTAACTGCTTATAATTTAAAATTAATTCCTTTTTGGGCAATAAAATTAGAAAAAAAGTTGTTAAAAGATATTTAAGAACAAATTCTTGCATTTTCCCAACATGATTATATCAAAACATACTAATTGAAGTAAAATATTAGGATGCTAAACAAAATTTTCAACATTTCCAAGCAATGAAAAATGCACAAAATTAGTCACTTGCTATCATATGCTTCGGCACAGTGACTCCGACTACGGAACATGCAATTTTGTTGGTAATTAAGTTTTGTTTAATGCGCTTCTTCAACTGAATAAAAGTTTTTAACTTGACAAAATAGCAGTAATTCTTAACTTAGAGTTTGTTAGTAGTTACAAGTTTTGAAAGTTTTGTTTAGCTTATTTCTAATATTTAAGAAATGCCAAATTTTAAATTCTTCTTTTTAGTTCCTGAATTTATTAATAGTTCCAAGCTTTTTTGCTTGTTAGTTTATTTCTAACAATTAAGAAATGCAAAATTTTGAATCCATTGCAAATCAAGCTATAATGATAAAAGTAAGTATCACTATTTTCAATAAGTATATTACAATATTTTTGAATGAATGTATATCCTTCTATAAAAATACATGTATATAATTTCAAAATCAATAGCAATCATTTACAACATTCATTTATAAAGGCAATTATGTGAAAATAATATATTGTCCACTATATGCCATAACTTAAAGAAAACAGTAGGTTTTTGACGGTTTTTACCGGTAAAAACATTGTTTTTACCACTGTCATGTCAAAAACCCAACCCTGATGTCAAATCATATTTGTGGTAATTGCCTGCCGACATGAACAACACACCTATGATAACTGTGGTTTGGTTTCTATGAACTAACACTAAAATTTAACTTTGATTCAAAAATGGAAAGTCATAATATAAACAATCAAACTTAGGCCAGACAACTTTACTCGGTACTGGTCAGTACTGACACTAATACTGAACTCCTTTCAGGAAGGGTATTCACTCAAAGAAATCCATCTCCCGACTGAAGCCAATCACAAATAAAATGTGAAATTCCGATATTAAAACACGCATTTCATCAAATGCAACAGCATTGAAAGTTTCAATGATTAAATTGAGTAAAAACGTGTCACTCAATCGCATATTCAAATTACCAAAAAGAGAAAAATTAAATACATTTAAGAATCAATTGATTGTTTTAAGGCAGGTAGTCATTTATGTCGCACTAGAGGTGCACAATGGGGTATGCGTGAAGCTGAGCACTTAAGGTCGAAACGATTTAACAGTTTAAGGAGGACTGATACCGCACACCCTCGGTATCTAGGCAAGCTGATCAAAGTGGTCACCTACCCGCTTACCAGTGATGCTTGACTTCCACATTCTAGTGGGCACCGTACCGTGTCTTTACCATCAATCCACTGCGGGACAGTGACTTTTTTTTTGTAAAGGTTCCTTATTCTTAAAAATATGAAACAAGTAATTGATTTCTAGATTTCCTTTTACATATTATACAAACACAACAATTTAGAGATACTGAAAGAAACTGCTTTAAACATTCCTCGCACGAATTGCTAAACTTTTTATTAAAGTATACCTGTAAAAGTAGATTGGAGTCTACCAATTCTTTCTTCAAGTATTCAATTTCTACTAATGATTTTTTATTACATTTGGCTGCAGTATCCATTTCTGTAGATAATTTTGTTTCAATTAAAGTTTTTTCAACTTCTAATTCTTTTTTCTCTTCAGTTAATTGATGAACTCTTTTCTTCAAATCATTCAACTCATCATCTGTTTTCCAGGTACCTTTTGATTCAGTTTTTACCTAGGAAGGAAATTAAAGGCAATACATAAGTTTATATAATCATATGAATAGTATCAGACATGTTAGAAAAAAACTGAATTTTGCATTAAAATATGAAACATCAGAAACATGAGTTCCGAACGAAACATAAACTACAAATTAAGTTAAAATAAAAAATTACTATTTAAGGGAATTATTACATTAAAAGGGGTGATTGTGAGCCCAACTAAAAAATCATGAAAATTTCTTGAGTAAAATCATTACCATGTATTTCAAAAAATTAATGTCTTCAGAAATTAAAATCACATTGATATTTTTAAAAACATGAAATCCTAAATAAATTATATGCAGCGTAATTTAAATGAATAATTATTAAGTTTATTTTTATGTCTAATCACATTCATTATTCTAAAAGAAAAAATACTTACGAATGAAAGAGATGCCAAAAATAAATTCTAGTTTGAATATTTTTAAATAAAATATACAGGAATTTGTAGACATAAATGTGATCGATGATTTCTTGAAACTCCTAGACCTTGGATTTCCGGTAACTTCAAGATTGCAGTTAGCGAAAAATCCAGAGTATTAAATAAAATATTCTGTACTAAATAAAGTAAATTAAATTTTAAAACATAATTAGAAACATATTTAGCGATTTCACATAGTGACTATTTACGACTATTACTAGTTTTACAACTTCTGTTAAATTAAATATTTAGTTTAAAATTTTAATTTGGTTTATTTTTTAAAATTTTAAACAACCCCATAATTCAAAATTTTAAAAATTCAGTGATTATTGAATTGTTTATTAGATTAAGATCATTTTACTTAAACTAAGAGAAAATGAGATTTTATTTATTTTCATTTTATTTTATAACCGGCGTTTGAACAGCCGTCCCAAGTATGGGTTTATGCCTACTAATGTTCCACTCTGCTGCCTTATAATTTTGAGCCCAATCCAGAGGATAAGGGAACTTTTGGATCAAGTATTAGGAGAAATTTGCCTTCGTGGAGGACTTTTTGATGGAACTAACTCATATTTCTTGCGTTACACGGAGAGGAAAACCACTAGGACCTCCAACAGTTAACCTGACGACAGGGAGACTCAAACCCATGATCAGCCTACCACTGAGATTATATTTCATCAGCATTTAGGTCAGTGCAAGCCGTATGCGGATTTCAAATCAACCAGTCATTGCTGGGATTAGAACCTAGTTCACCACATTGGAAGGCGAACGCTCTATCCCCTGAGCCACAACGGCTTCTAACTGCATTGGAAATGACATGAAAAGAATTGGAGTTCAAAGAAAAATAGGAAGTCGTTATGGAGAAATTTTCAGAAGAAGGCATTGGCTGACACTGAGCTGTCTGGCCAACTATGATGATGATGAGAAAATGTTATAGGGAGAGGTGGGTTGGACTTGCTTGAATTAATTTTAATGCAATTTAATAGTTTTAATTCTTTTTTTTCCATTAACATGTTGCACCACATGAAATGAGCACATGGTTCATAATACTTATGAGTAGGTTCGAGTATTCACACTTAATCAGCGTCAGTCACTTTTGGAGCTTGATTCATTAAACAGATGGCGCTGAGAATTTTGTTATTTTGCCTATTATTGGAATGAGAAGGAAGAATCAGAAAAGAATCAAATTTTTCACCGTTGCTACCACCTTCAATAAGCATAGTGCGGCCTCACTTCCTGGTTAGAAACCCTTTCATCGAAGGAAAATTATTTTTTGCGTTAGAGACTCAAACAGGTTTTGATTTTAATTAAAGTGTTTTTTATTAGTTCAGTGCTTTCTCAACCTTTTAGTATTGTACGTGTGAGTTCCTGAAAGTAGTAATTAGTTTTATTAGAAAGAAAATAATTCCAAATCTAGAAGACTTTAACATGTCATGTAAGATAGATCTCTTAGTCAAAAAGATTTTTTTATAGTTAAAATCTGAGATTAATAACTGATTCTTTAATATTTTTTTAAAAACTTTTTACTTAATTTATAATTTGTAGATTTCATCTTTAATTTAAACTTCCCCGCCCAAGAAAAAAAAAACTACAGCAGAAGATAAATTATAAGAAAGGAACTGATTTCGTAATGATTTTGGGATCTTCATATCTTCTACAAAGTTAAAGAGAACAATGGTAGATTCAAGCATGATGGGGATAATAAAACCCAGAAACTATTTTTCTTATCGGAAATAAGGTGTCTAAAATGCTTCAAAACTTGAAAATTTTGAACTAATTTGGAAGTACAAGCACCCTCACAACTTGATATATGATTATTTTACACGATTTTTACTAATGAGATAGAAAGCAAAACAATGTGAATGCCAAACTGATTGAAACAAAAATTTAGTTCATCTCCACTTAATTAATACAAAAATTTTACAACCAATTATCACAGAGTAACCACTCAAATCTGGGAAAAAAAATTTCCCGTGTTTCCCCTATACATACTATACACAATATATTAAGAGGAAATACAATTAATGTGCTCTTGTGTCAGCTTTATATTGGGCTAACTATTCTAGTTATAATTGCTGAAAAAACCTAGAGAGAGAAAAAAGGAACAGCTGAACATACTTAAATAATGCTATAGTAAATGAAATAGTTTAGTATAGCTGAAATAGTTTAGTATAGCTGAAATATCATGGTTAAATATGCCATAGATTACGCTTTGAGTGGTCACCACTTTTTAAAAGACAAAAATAAGAAATAAAATTCCCTGTATTTTTTTCAGTTTCTAAAGAAAAACTCAAAATTCCCAACATTTTCCCCAATTATTTCAGGCGATTTTTAAATTTCCCGTATTTTCCAGGTTTTCCCTGGAGTGGCAACCCTGATATGGGTGAAATATCATCCTTAAATATTCTGCAGATTGCACTTTGATTGGTCACCTTTCTTTAAAAGACGAAAATAAAAAACAAAATTCCTTCTATTTTCCCAGTTGGTATAGAAAAACTCAAAATTCCCTGCACTGTCCCTGTTATTTTAGGTGATTTTTTAATTCTCTGTATTTTTCCAGGTTTTTACTACTCTCCCTGTTGAGTGGCAGCCCTGTATTATCATCTGACAGATTACCAAAGGAATTATGTATTAAATATTAAAAATATTATTAGGTTTTGCTTATTTAAAAATAATTTTAAATGGCAAGAAAATTAATGCTATTTTTAACCATAAATAGTCTAAAAACTGTTTTAATATAAGATATTTATCAGGGTTACCATTCAAATCTGGAAAAAAAATTTTCCTGTGTTTTAATTGTACATATTATCAGGGGTGACTGTGAGCCCAAGTCAAAATTCCGGAAAATTTCTTGAGTTAAAAAAAAAAAAAGTTTAAATTCAAAAATTAGAAAAAAATTTAAACCAGGTTTTTTTAATTTTTCTTGATATTTCTTAGTTTACTTAAAATATATTTAAAATTTTACACATACCTATTACTATACCTGCAGAAGTAATTATAAATTTACAAATATGTCTTTCTTTCTTGAGTTTATGATTAGAACAACTATTTACTGATAAAGAATGAATATTAATCATGAATGTAAGCTTATAAAGTATCTCTCTGGCTCTCCCTTACAAACAAATAAAATAAACTGTGTTTTTAAGTTCTACTTTTGAAAATTTGATTTCCGGAAACTTCTGTGATCAATGATTTTTTGAAACGTTTGGACCTTCGATCTCCGGAAACTTCCGGATCACCATTGCGAAAAATCCGGAAATCCGGATTTTTTCTGGAGCACAATCAGCCCTGTATTATACACAATACATTAAAAGGAAAAACACAATCACTGTGCTCTTGTCTGAGCCGTATTTGACTAACTATACTAGTTACAACTGCTTAAAAAAAGAAAAAAACTGAACATACTTAAAACAAATAATGCTATAGTAAGTTTAATATAGCTGAAATATGATCCTTAAATATTCTATACATTTGCACTTAGAGCGGTCACTAATTTTTAAAAGACAAAAATAGGAAACAAAATTCCCTGTATTTTCTCAGTTTGTAAAGAAAAAAAGATCAAAATTCCCTGTATTTTAGGTGATTTTTTAATTCCCTATATTTTCCCGGTAGAGTGGCAACCCTGGTGGAGGATCAAACTCAAGTTTTAAGCAATTTACTACTTTTAACCACTGAACCATCACCCTAATAATTTCACTAAATGCTTATACTTGTATTTTTTCTATACAATAAAAATTAGGAAATTTCAATGCAACAATATGATTTTAGTCAACTAAGTTTTTAACAGGGCTCGAAAACACTCAGAAATTTTACCCGTCCCTGAGGATGGCTTGTCCAACAATGTACCCGTCCTCCTTTGAAACTAACCCGTCGCTTCTAAATAAATAAAAATATAATTTTCTCTCATTTATTACAAACATTTATATAAATTGCACAATGAATTAGTAGTTACTAGGATTACACATACCAGGATTGCATTATACAGTAATAAAAGGAATACTAGGTTACAAACAGGAACCTAGTATTTCTTTTATAAAATAATTTATTTCTTTGATGAAATAATTTAAATAACAAAGGTTAAGTTATCCGTCAATTTATCCGATGGTACTGCCTTTTTTAAATGAATCAAATATGACGTTTGCCAGTTCCACAATCAAGCCAATGATTTACAGAGGTTTCTGCACAGAAATCTGAAAGGGTTTTTTCTTTTAGGTGGATGTTCATAATTGCGTTTAACGCTTCTTGTTTAAGACCAGTACGTAATGTGTTTTTTTTTGTAAGTTCATTGCTGAAAAGCCCCTTTCAACCGCTGCAGTACTCCCAGACAGAGAAAACTTCCATTCCACCATGAGCAGTATGTTGCTGTATTTCGAGATTAGAGGGTAATTTTAGAAGTGAGGCGCTAGACTCTTGTAAGATAAAAAAAAATTGAAAACGTATCATGAACATTAAGGGGAAAATGGCCGTCCGCGCGGACGCTGGATTCGAGAAATTCGTTGTCCGCGGGGAATTTTTGACCGCCGAGGACAGGCGGTTTTTCGAGCCCTGGTTTTTAAACAAAATTCGCAATTTCCTGCATTTTCTCTGTTATTTTAGGTGATTTTTTAAATTCCCTGTATTTTCCCTAATCTCCCCGAGGAGTGGCAACCCTGTTTAAAAGTTTCTTCTATTTTGTATGGCAAAAAGGCCACTGCGAGAGAAACTGCAACAGCATAAGATACTTACCACTATTGCCTCAGTCTGTAGAGCTTTGCTGCTTTTGTCCACTGCATTAGCAATCCTATAAGGTTTAATACAAGAGTCAATATAAGCACGTTGAGATTCCATTTCGTCACTGAAATAAAGCTTCAAGGCACCGATGCAATTCTCAGCCAAAGTCTTGACGCTTTCCTTCTGCGACTTGCCACCCGTATGGTCTTGCAAGAAGTTATTGGCGCCTTCGTCGTCCACAGCAATCGGCTGCCGCAGTTTCGATATGGTCGACATGAGGGAGGAGGAGAGAGGGCGTGTTGCTTTTTCGGTTTTAGAATCGGGAGGAATCTCCTCGGGCAGAGATGTGTAAGAATTCGTAGAGCTCGAAGCGACGGAAGATGGCCTGTATTCTTTGGCATCAGGATTCAGAGTGGGAACTATGTGGCTAAAACTTCCATTTAAGCTTGAAGTGTGATCTGCATATTCTTCAAGTAAATCAGCATTATCAGCTCCAACCACACCAGAGCTCCTGCTCAATTTGTAAGCATCGGCCAAGTCGTTCCTCGAGCATATGAAAAAGTCGTCGACGATACCAAATCTGTACTCGATGTCATTTTTTAAAAACTCTGCGATGCCACCGTACCTGGCTATCACCACGTTAGCCTCGGTAGGAAAAGTCTCCAATTCTCTGATGAGTCTCACATTTTTAACGGAAAGAGGACCGTTTCGTGTTAAGAACTCATCCAGGTAGCTGGAATCAAAACATTTAAAGCACATCAATTCAAAGTAAGACACAAAATACAACATATTCAAATGAAACAAGCTGATTAAAAGCAATGCTTTTAAGAATAATTCAACTGGAAAAGAGATGACCCTTGTCTTAACACGATTAACACTTCTTTGTCTTAACATACACACTTTTAATTTGGTTAATTTTGTTCATCACTTAATTATTGTATACCTGCCAACATTGGAGAAATAAAATAACGGAGATTTTACTAGCGATATTTTTCGGCCATGTGTAAAGTTTTGATACATCATGGAAAATCATATAAGTCAAAAAGAGAAATTCAAAATCAAAATAATATAAGCACTTACATTTAGCAAAAAAAAAATAAATTTTTTTTATATAAATCTTAAAGAAGATTTCTTAAACCATTATTTATAATTACCTAAATTATTTTACAATTGCTTTTTAACAGACGACCCGATTTTGGGTTTACGACTACTAATGTTCAACTCTGCAGCCTTGTAATTTTGAACCCAATCCAGAAGACAAGGGAACTCCTGGATCAATCAAGTACTGGGAGAAATTTGGCTTCGAGGAGGATTTTTTGATGGAACTAATCTGCATTTGTGTTACATGGAGAAGAAAACCACGAAAACATCCCACAGTTAGCCTGACTGCAAAGGGCACTTAAACTATTAACACAAAAGATACAACACTATTGGCAATAGCACTATCTATTGAGGAATAAGAGAAGTATTTTTGCCATCAGTGGATATTTTATTGCCAAAATTTTCTTTAAAAACATTTCTTCAACACTGAGAAATTTGAAAATATACAGGTAAACAGGAGATAGTAATAAAATACAGGAGTCTTCGTTAAAAAACAGGAGACTTGGCAGGTATGTTATTGTGTTTACTTAATTCAAGAAAAAATACTTACAGAATAAAAAAATCTATCCACACAGAAACAAACAAATAAATGTATTAACTGATGCACTTTTTTCATTTAATTAAACTATGCAGGATGGCTATAGCTGTCATTTGTGCCAACATATTGCCAAAAATTGGGTAACTATAGACAGACCAAAAATTAGACAATCATTATTACGGTTATGCTCATAAATGTCATTGAAAAACATAATTAATGTTAAAAAATTAATTATGCTGCAAGATTTATGACACATTTTGTTTCTGAACCAGCCTACATTTATATAATTTAGCATGGCACATGACAAGAAGTGGGTCAAAGGGATAGGGAAGCCAAAATACAGAACAGAACCCGTTATCCGGAAATCAGAAAACCGGAAAACCAAAAAACCGGAACGAAATTTGATAAATTTTCCCACCGTTTTAAAAATGTTTTTTTTTTTTTTTCCTTATAAGATTTTAGGATTTTTCTTTCTTTTTTGATAGATGTTTACCTTACCATCATTTTGGAAATAATCATTAGTGTATTACTTTATCGTTTTTTCTTCTTTTTAAGATTTCCAAATATTTTTTTCTTTAGTCAGGTTTAACAATAAAAAAACGGCTTTTTGCAGCTATTCAGAAAACCGGAAGAATCAGTTATACGGAATAGCGATGGCCCCTATCGTTCCGGATAATCGGTTCCCTACTGTATTTACAAAAATAAGAAAGGTGCTTTACTTATATAAATTGTTTTTAATGGCATCAAAGTCATCAATCTCTAATGGATCACAATCCAAAGTTGGAAGGTGTTGCGTGGTGGCATTATTTTCTTCTATCACTGAAATGTCTTCTTTTTGGGATGCATGACAGTTGGAGGACCTAAAAAATACATGAGTCACAAAACAAGATGTATTACACTTCCACTACAAAGTAACATATAACAATTAAGACACTGACACATAATGAAAACAGGGGTTGTGACTCATCTAGTAAAATATAATTTTTTTTTCCTCCGATTGGTATAATGCAACAGTTTTACAAACAAAAACTGTATTACTACACAAAGGGAAGCAAAATCATTATACAAACAGTTTCTTAAAAAAGTGGAATTTAATGATGTTAAATCAGCAAGCTTTAAGGAAACAAAATGATAAATGTTACTTGGAAATTGTTCTGAGATGAATAGTACCTTAACCAAGTATTGTAATCATCAATCAGGGTACGTAGCGAAATTATTCAACAAAAAATAAGCACCTTTTGAGCACTTTTCAAGCACTCAAAAAATACTTTCAAGCACTTTAAAAAATATCATTACTAGGCAAGGTAGGAAAGTTTTTCACATTTGGCAGTTTAATCTTATTTTAACCTACATGTCGAGAAAAAAAAACTTTTGGCATTGTTTTTGACAATTGTCAAAAATCATGGAATTTTTATTCATGCAAAACAAATGGCGTTTTCATACGCTACGGACTGACAATACGCCGAAGAAGATTGATTTGGTTTCTAATTAATTGTGAAAACACTGAATAGAACAATGTGAACTGTGCCTTTTTGCATAATTCGTAGAGAAAATCAACAAGGTAAAGGAAAAATCTCATTTTGAAAAATAGAAAATTAAGCACTTTTTGCAAACGCTATGCACCCTGTCAATAAAAAAAAACCCTAACCCGTCAATAAAAAATATATTTTCACTGAACTCAGAAACAAACTTGCAAAAAAGAAGAAAAATTAAATTGAAAAAACTCAAAATCTCAAAAAATCCCTAAAATGGAGGGGGAAAAAAGTAAAAATGCCCTAAAAGAACAAAAGAGTCCAAAACAGAAGATGAGTCAATCAACTGAGCAAAACTTGGTACTCACAATTCACTGCATTGGGGCCATTCTTCTTGCACATAGGAATAGTTTTCACTTTGTTGATATGAAACCATGTGCACATCTTGGCTGAACAAAAGATAGTAATTTAAAAACATATTCCGATAAAAAACATAGAATTTTTTACACTAATATATTATTTTTTATTATTTAATTCTTAGATTAATACTTTTTTACTCCTAGTCTTTGACTAAACCAGTTTTCAAACTAAAGTTTCCTCTATTTAAGGGTGGCCAAAAACCCACCTACTAAGGGTGGAGAAAAACCCGGACGGGTTTTACTGGGTAAAACGCACTCTGAAAAACTGGGTTTTTCTAAAATTGATTTCTTTTTAATCCTCTGTTATATTAAAGGGCTATTTTATTGAAATATATATGTAGTCTAGCATAAAAAAAATGAACCTTGAAAAAACTAGAAACAATGTGAAAAGAAAAATTATTTGTGGAATTCATGAAGAAAAATGTATAGGTTTCATAAAAAAAAGAGAATAATTTGAGTATAAAACATACTACCGTTGCTACTTTGTGCAAATTCGAATTTGGCACTTTTCAAGTGCTGCTATTCAGTATTATGTTTTTTTTCACGTTACAAATGCGTGGAATTTGAAGATAGAAGTCCCCTCTATTACTACAAACATTTTTTTCGAATTTTAAAACAATCTCAGAGTGTGTTCTGTTTATCCAATGTCAACAACTTTCCGAGAACGTCGAGAAGTGTGCGAGGAAACTTTAGCTATGAAATGCAAAGACCTTGTTAAAACAATTGTTGTAAGTGCAAAATTTTTTATTTATATATTAATAAACAATTATTTCATGTTAGCGTTAAAAAAATTTGAAAATTAATAACAAATAAACGGAAAATGAAAAAAAATGCACTTTGGGGCTACTTTGTGCAAAGTTTCATTCGTTTTTTTTTTCGACAGAAAAATGGTCAGACGTTATAAAAAAATACCTGGAACGAGAAACTACCGTGATTACACTTTAGAAAAGCTGCAACAATGTTTGCAAGCAGTTGCTGGTGGTATGTCGATTGCAGAAGCTTCTCGGAAGTACAAAATCCACAGAAATACTATCTCTAATAAAATTCACAAGAAACACGTGAAACGTGCTGGTAAACTATTATTTTTCTTCTACAAAGATTTTTCTAATGAATTAATCAAACGATTTAACACATAAAAATATATTTTATAGGACATCAGGTGATTTTGACAGAAACTGAAGAGCAAGTTCTGTCATGTTCATTCAAGCATGTTATGTTCAAATTTATCAATATTATAAATGTTAATGAATATGTAATAATTATTATTTTTGAAATTTCATCCATTTCAATGTTCAAAAATGTATATGGTTTCCTTTTGTTTAAACTCAAATGTTTTGAAATAAGCATTCTTTTTAAGAAAAAATTCTTTAAAAAAAATGGTTTTTTAACGCTGAAAATTATTTTCAAACTAATATCTTTACATATCTTGATGTTTTTGTTATTAAAAATGTCAAAAATTAACTTTTTTAAAAATTTTATATCAATATTTTACTAAAAACATGATTATTAAACTGAATTCCTATCATTGCACAAAGTAGCCCCTCTTGGGCTACTTTGTGCAAGGTATGTTTTGACTTATTATTTGTAAATATTACATACAAATAATGCCAATATTGATCAAATTCACTCGTCTGAGTCCAGTTATGAATATAATATCGATAGATGTTACTAAAGTTTGAATTAACATAGTCTTTTTACATGTCAAAGTTCAAAAACTGCGAAATACTGCACAAAGTAGCCCCACATGACGGTACAATAAAAGTTATTTCATAAGGATTTTAAAACAAAATAAACACAGACAGAGGAAATACATTATAAATCGATCAGGTTATCAGTATTTATAATACAATCTAGATTTGACTCTATGGCCATTGATTAGTCGGTGCTTTTGATTAGCTTTCTATGCAAAAAGATTCTTGAGATTAAAATATATAAAAAAAGTAATCCTGTGTTAAAATGCGTTTCAAATGTGTGATGCCAGAAGAAACTTTTTTCAGACAATTTATTTGTCATAATTATTAATTACACTTTAATCACCTATATGTTAAGTCAAACCATAAAATTAAACTTAATTACAGTCAAACCTCCATTTAACAAAGTTATTAAATCCAGATAATAATTTCGTTATATGGAAAATTCGTTAAATAGAAAATCACCTTTTAAAATACTTAAACACAAAAAAGGTTTTAAATTCATAAACACTAGACATAATTAAAATTGCAATTAATGCACTTTTATCTTGTAAACTAGTATTGACTATTTTATAAATCTTAACCATAAAAGAAATCTGCATGGAAAGCAAGAATAGAACAAAACATTACACTATCATGCTATACACATTTTCAGCTTAAAAAAAGGCTAAATTTATGCATAAAATTATAGTTGCATTTATTATAAAAGTAATTTTAAACATACATTACCACATGCGTTCTTAAGTTTAATTGCTACGGATAAAATCCGTTAATTTGAACTGAGTTTTTCATTTGAAATGCAAACAAAAAGATAAAGAGAAATTACTGCTTTCTTTAAGATAAATTTTAGAGAAAACAGTAATACATTTCATAAAGCAGTGGCTTCGAAGATTAATTCAAGGTCATTTCCCCCATAAATTGCATGAACAAGTTTGAAATGTTAAGAAATATTTTGAAAAATAGGGAAAGTGGATCTCAATGAAAAATTCGTTAAATAGAAAATTCACTTCGCTATATGTAAGTTATGTTACGAAGAAATTTCTAAAATGTTCTTGGTTCCTCGAGAAAATTCGTAAAATAGAGAAATTCGTAAAATGGAAGTTCGTCAAATAGAAGTCCGACTGTATTAATATCAATATAAGCATTTTTAAAATTAGGTACTTATCCCTGCCTTCTCTTTTGAGAAAACCCCACTTAAACATGAAAAACCTGGCATTCTTACAAATAGAGTCTATTTGTGAACAATCATAGATAGGAACAATAATTTTGTAACTGTTGACAACTTATGGTCATTGAATCTTATGCTTTAAGGAAGAATTAATAATTTTAAGACCAAAACTAAATATGTCTATTGCAAAGGATTTGAAGAATTGTTTTTGAAATAGACTTTTTTTTTACTTGCATTTATATAATTCATTTCTCTTGTTAAATATAATTACAGTATGCCTTCAATATCTCGAAAACCTTGCTATGTCAAAAAAATATTTTTACCCATCACATTACACATCCAACTAGCCTTAATTTGAATTCCTATGTCGAAGAGTTTCTTTGCAAAACCTCGTTATTACAATTTTTTTTGAAGTAGAAAAGGAATTTTTCCGGAAAAATCTTTATAAGAATTCTGACAATTTCAACTAAATACAAGAGTAACAGGTCTCAACATCCTTCAAGGATATTTTGGCTGATTTCAAACTGAATGTTAAAAAAGGGGAAAATAACAAATTTCCTCAAAACGAAGCATTTTAGAGGAAAGAAGGACAGTAGAGCGCTGTTGTGTCACAACAACCAGAAATAAGATGTGAGTTGTGTGAATCACCCAATACAGCTGCCTTAGTAACCACTTTTCCTAACTTACAGTTTAATTCAACTACGGCTAATGGAAAACAAAATGATTCTTCCTGTATTGGAGTTTTTATCCAAACAAATTCACCCGTGTACATTTCAGGTTTTACAAATCTCCTAGGAATTAAATCCGAGGTTGAGCCAGTGTCTCGTAGTATTGAAATGCCAACGCCATTTACCACGCCAATGCTCGTATATGGTGTCATTATATCAGGAAACCTTGGTTCCGAAACGTGCAGCGAAGCCACAGTTTCTGAATTTGTTTTCGCCTTGGGACATTGAGGGCGTAGATGATCATAAGAACCACATTTGTAGCATCTAAGCTGTCTTCTTCTTTCAAATTCTCTTTCACGAACATTTTCTTTAACATTATTTTTCTGCTAAGTCAACTTTTCTTCAGTTCTGGTATCACTTTGGTTCAGAGATCGCCAAGAATTATCTTGGTTACTTCGATTATAAGACACAGACTTTTCCTTGAAACTGTTTTTTAAACTTTCATAGTCGTCCAATTTTCCTGCTAATTAGGAAAAAGAATTCAATTCCATCCAATCTTCAAGAAAATGATCTCTCATGTCATTTGGTACATGACGTTTCATTTGCTCGGTAACCATCAAACTCTTAAGGTCATCGAAAGTGGTAATTTTTACTTCAGAAACTCATTCGCTAAAATAGCAATTTAATTCTTGTGCAAAATTTCGCCAAGATTTTTCAGGTGATTTAAAATGTCGATAAAAATTTTGTTTGAGTTCCTCTGCATTAAGCTTATATTGCTTAAGAATCAATTCTTTTACAAAGTCGTAGTTATTGGCATCATTAGGAGACTCTCTCGCCAACATATTTGAAATGTCGGGTGGTACTACGCTCAATAGGTAAGGCACCCATTCATCTTTAGGAATTTGTGCAATTTCTGCTCGACGTTCAAAATTTATCAGATACAACGACATTTCATCTTTACCTTCATTAAATTTTGGTGTTATTTGTAAAATCTGTATTTTATGATTTGTTTCACCTGATACCGGTCTGTTTTGGTGCTGAATTTGAGAATTTGCTTCTAATTCGAGTTTACGCAATTCCAATTGATGTTGCCGTTCAAGTTCTTCTCGCCGTTCTTGTCTTTCAAGTTCTTCTCGCCGTTCTTGTCTTTCAAGTTCTTCTCGCCGTTCTTGTCTTTCAAGTTCTTCTCGCCGTTCTTGTCTTTCAAGTTCTTCTCGCCGTTCTTGTCTTTCAAGTTCTTCTCGCCGTTCTTGTCTTTCAAGTTCTTCTCGCCGTTCTTGTCTTTCAAGTTCTTCTCGCCGTTCTTGTCTTTCAAGTTCTTCTCGCCGTTCTTGTCTTTCAAGTTCTTCTCGCCGTTCTTGTCTTTCAAGTTCTTCTCGCCGTTCTTGTCTTTCAAGTTCTTCTCGCCGTTCTTGTTTTTCAAGTTCTTCTCGCCTAATTCTCTCCTCCGTTATACGAGTCAAACACATCTTTACATCCTCAACCTCATAATGTTTACTAGTTTGAATTATTTTTTTAATTTCACAAACATTTGCTTGAGGTGGAACAGATTCACCTAATTCGTCGGCCAATTCTATCAAATCCACTTTTTTCGCTTTATTAAGAAAAGCCATAATTTACAACTGATAAAAAACTACATATACAATCACTGACTACCTTAAATCAACTACTCTTACTATATCCCGCCGCTGCCACCAGTAAAATTCTGTTGTGTCACAACAACCAGAAATAAGACGTGAGTTGTACCAAACAATTTATTTAAACATTCACACGAAAAATCACAAAATATTACCCAAAAAAAATATCTCTTCTCAGAAAAGAACTCTCAGAAAAGCCATAATTTACAACTGATAAAAAACTACATATACAATCACTGACTACCTTAAATCAACTACTCTTACTATATAAAATTCTGTTGTGTCACAACAACCAGAAATAAGACGTGAGTTGTACCAAACAATTTATTTAAACATTCACACGAAAAATCACAAAATATTACCCAAAAAAAATATCTCTTCTCAGAAAAGAACTCTCTTTTTCAACTACACAAAAAAGAACAACACTCTCAAGCATCAACATTTTAGCATTACCTCTCGAGGAATTGATGCTTTTAGCTCAGTTGCGAGAAATTGATGCTTTCAGCTCAGTTGTCACACTGTTACGTTACAGCGCACTGCTCGTTCACTGAAAGAGACTGGCGATGGAAGAAATAACTGTTCTTTTTCAACTAGTCTCGCCAGTTATTTACCACACGCAGACCTGCCAACATTGGCGAAATAAAATAACAGAAATATTATGAGTGACATTTTTTAGGCTACAAGTAAAGTTTTGATGCATCAAGTAGTAAGTCAAGTAAGCCAATCAAGTAAGTCAAAAAGAGAAATTCAAAATAGGAAAAAATATAAGCACTTAACACTTAGCCAAGTAAAAGATATGTATATAAATCTTAATCTAAAGAAGATTTTTTTAAATCGTTATTTATAATTATTTATACTATTTTGTTTTATGACCGTTGACCCAATTTTTTCGGTTTCTGGCTACTAATGTTCCACTCTTTAGCCTTGTAATTTTGAACCCAATCTAATATCAGAAATAATATAAGCACTTACTTTTAGAGAAGTAAACAATATGTATACAAAAAAGAAATTTTTTAAACCATTATTTATAATTACTTAAACTATTTTTGCCATCAGCGGATATTTTATTGCCAATTTTTAAAAAAAAATTTCTTCAACAAATACGGAGAAATTTGAGAATATACAGGAACACAGGAGACAGTCATAAAATACAGGAGTCTTCCTTAAAAAACAGGAGACTTGGCAGGACTGCACATATATATTTTAAGCATGTGTCTTGTTATCAGACTTTTCTGCGCATGTTTAAGTGAGCTATAGAAAAACGTGTGTGATAAAATGGAAATTTCTAANAAAAAAAAAAAAAAAAAAAAAAAAAAAAAAAAAAAAAAAAAAAAAAAAAAAAAAAAAAAAAAAAGATTTTTTAGGCTGTAGATAAAGGTGGAAAATAGGGATGAATTGCAAGTGATTATCGCATCAACTTTCGCAACAATATTAAAAAACAGAAACAAAACTTATAACATATTTGGTTCTGAACTTGCCTTATAAAAAAAATCATTATTCCAAAAAAAAAATTATGGTTGTGGGAGGGAGTCACAACGACCATGTAAACCTTCATCTATGAAAAGGAACCCCAACATAGAATCGAATTAACTTGTCTTATATACTAGGGACTGGAATTGTATTTTTGTAGAGGTAGACACACTACAGTACTCCCCCACCTGAACTTCATCTGTGATAGCGCTCGATGAACAGGATACCACTAGCTGAGTCATTGTTGTTTTAGTAAGAAGCTGGGAGAGCTGTATTAAGATCACCATACTTTTGATCTTAATACAGCTTTGCATACTTTTGAGTGCTGATCGTGAGAACTGTTTTACAAGGTTGCCACAGAAAAAAATGAACAAAATATTTCCTTTTAGTAGCCTAAAGCGTGAAAATAGTAGCCATAAACTATGAAGAACAAAAATTTTCAATCATATTACTAAAATTACTTAATTGTCATATACCATGATCCATTTAGTCAAGTTGGTAGCAAATATGATAATTTTTATATAAATGTTAGAGTTCTAGCACTAAATTTTTACCTAAAAAAATTTGTTTGCAGAAAATTAAATACTTTTAATTACTAGAATTCATTAAAAAAAATACTTTTTCATTAAAAAAAAAACGATTTTTTCTAAAACTTTTTTCTTTTATCAATAATTAATTCAGCAAATATATATATATATGACGCCCGGTGGCTGAGCGGTAGCGCTTCGCAATGTCGTGCCACAGGTCCCTGGCTCGACCCTCGGGCCGGGCAAGGTTGACTCAGCCTTTCATCCCTTCAGTGGGTCGATAAATGAGTACCAAGCATGCTTGGGAACTAAACACTGGGGGTTTCGCGTTCGGCTGACCACCTAACCGGAACATCTGCTCCTGCACCCTAGAGCCCAAAGGTCTGGAAAACTGAGATGGGCACAGTAGACCTTAACCCTCTATGGGCTGTCGAGCCGCTGAGTTTAGTTAATATATATATATACACATATTGTGATAGGTGATTACTCAAATTCAAAATTCACACATCATAATAACTTATTAAATTTTTTTTTTTTACAAATCGTGCAGAATTTTGTAGCAATAACCGTTGAAAAAGTGATAAAACACAAAATGAATTTACTATGAAATCTGTGCATATTGGGCGCATTAAAAAGTGAGGACTCAAAAGTGCAATTCAAAATTTTCAAATTCTTTTAGATTTTAAGAAAAAGAAATTCATTGTGTTCAGAAGCTTCAGCAGACCACAGGTTGTCAACCCAATTTATACTTAAAAAAAAAAAACAGCTCTATGAGCACAGAAAAGTCTCCCAATAGTCTCCTTTTCCTGAAAATAGTTGCTTTTTTAGCCTTTTCATGCAAAAAAAAGTTGCCATAGTCGCCTCAGGCCAAAAATAGTTGCAAATAGTTGCATTTTAGTCGCCTGTGGCAACCCTGTTTTAAGTTCACGGTCAAGGTTGCTCCTGTGTTGCCATAAGCAGTCGAGTGCATGCAGGCCGAAGTTGTCTGTGATCGAGACTGAGTAGCAACAGCGCGAGAAGGTGGATAATGTTGCAGTCACAAGTAGTAAGTCAACTGCTCAATGTGGACCATCCATCTAAGTAGGCACGTTCAAATTGAAGTGGGAGTTTCTGTCGAGGTTGACGTGTTCACATCACACGAGGGTAACCAATGTGAGGGGAGGGAATCACAACGACCGTGTAAACCTTCATCTATGAAAAGGTACCCCAACATAGAATCGAATCAACATGTCTAACATACTAGTGAGTTGGAAGTGTATTTTTGTAGTGGTAGACACACTTTAATGGTTCTTTCAACTTTGAGATATTGAGAGTACACTATAATTTCTTTTTTTTTTCTTTGGGCATAAAAATATTTTTGTCAGAAATAACAAATTGATTTGTCTGAACTCGTATTTTAAAGAATGTTTGGTTGAAAAGGAGACAGATTTCATGAGCAATAAAAGAGAAAACTCACCCAGATGCAGCATCACTCTCTTTACAAAATTCCTTAAAGCTAATGGTTACAGGTTTGGATTTCTTTAGTTCCTTAGATTTCGCAGATGTGCGCAATACATTTTCCTGCATATTTTGAAGAAAATAAACACTTAAATAAATGAAAACTACAGCCTAATCGACCCATAAGGGGCCATCTATGCATTACATAATCATACCTGCCAACATTGGAGAAATAAAATATAGGAGATTTCACTAGCGACATTTTTTAGGCTATGAGTAAAAATTTGATGCATCATGCATAATCAAGTAAGTCAAAAAGAGATTTTCAAAATCGGAAATAATATAAGCACTTACATTCAGCGAAGCAAAAAATATGTATATAAAGCGTAAACCAAGGAAAATTTTTTAAAAACCATTATTTATAATTACTGAAAATACTTTATTTCATAACCAACATTGAACAGCTCGACCCAATTTTGAGTTTACGACTACTAATGTTCAACTTCGTAGCCCTGAAATTTTGAACCCAATCCAGAAGACAAGGAAACTCCTGGATCATGCATCGGGAGAAATATGCCTTTGTGGAGGACTTTTGGATGGATCTAACACGCATTTGAGTTACATGGAGAGGAAAACATCGAAAACCTCTCACGGTTAGCCTGGGGACTCTAACCAGTGATCCGTCAACCAATGAAGATATTTAATGTCAGCACTGTCGTCTTTGCAGGCTGGATGCGGAATTCGTATCAGCCAGTCATAGCTGGGTTTCGAACCCGGTTCAGCTTATTGAAAACCGAAAATTCTATTCCCTGAGTCATCAATGCTTGACTTATAAACTATAAACACTAAAAATGCTGCAGAAGTGGCGATAGTCATCAGTGGATATTTATCAACAAAAAAATTCTTTTTTAAAAAATTTCTTACAAATATAGAGAAATTTGAGAATATACAGGTAAACAGAAGATAGTCATAAAATATAGGAGTCTCCATTAAAAAACAGGAGACTTGGCAGGTATGCGTACGCATGCAATGGGAGGAGAGTGTTTGTGATAACTGACAAGAGGGGAGGAGGAGTATGATCAATACTTAAATAAAACATTAAAAATCACATTTCTTTCAAAAAAATTTTAAAATGTAAAAATAAAATAAATTTAGGAAAGAATTGCGCATGGAAATATTTTATAGTCTGGGGAAAGATATTATTAGAAAATTAATTTTTAAATGAGCTTTACAGTTTTAACTACAGAAGAAAAACATAAAAGATTCCTAAAGGATATTCATCTCAAATAAGATTGAATGAAGAAAATGAATTGAAAAAACATTGGTTTTATACAAACTTAATTACATTAAACTTACCAAAATTAGGCTGTAAAAGTCAAAGCAAAAGAGAAGGGGGCTTTGCGACTTTCTTATATATAGGCATAGCTGCCAGCATGAATAGGGAAAAATCCAGTAGATTTTACGAAATAATATAAATTTCTTGATACTTGTTACAAAATGTGCGAAATATTTTATACATAGGGAATTTTATGGATTTTTAGTCATCAAAATAAAAACTGAAATATTTTCCAATTATGATTAACATTAAATGAATTTGAAACGTTATGTATTATGCTTACTCTTAATTTTAATTAGTAATAGGTTAGTCTTTTATTAATTACTTAATTTTAATTAATCAAAGATAGGTAACTAATTTTTATAAATAAGGCTCGTTTCTTTATGCATTAGTAAAACTTGTTTAAATATTAAAGCAAGCAATAATCTGCTCAAAAATTCGATTTCAATAGGGATTTTTTAAGGGAACTTTCTTAATTGTAGGGAATTTTCTAAAATGTACAAAAACAAGGAGATTTTTTATTAAACCAGTAGAAACTGGCAAAATCCAGTAGTCTACTGGAAAATCCAGTAGTCTACTGGAAAATCCAGTAGAGTTGGCAGCTATGTATAGGGTATCTGCTACATTTCAGATTTTCAAATTCATGACTAATTCCAAGAATTTTTCATGACTTAACGAAGTTACTATTTTCTCAGACAAAAACACAACAATTTAAAAAGGCATTATAATAACATTCACTGAAATGATAGGTATAACCAAAACTGTCATACTTTGCATCTTCATATTTATAGATTTTAAAAAACAGAGTAAAGAAAGAGTTGAAACAAAAAAATAGCAGAAAAAATACAAAAGCAAATAGTATTTTACACTTTTTTTCTGCAGAGTTACATTCTAAAGATACTTTCTTGTTCATCAGAAAGGAAAGAAATACTCCTGATTATTCCGTTCTCATTTCGGAATAAAAAAATTCGCCAATGACTGGCTTACTTCAGCTAAAATTTTAAATTGATAAAATAAAAAATAACAACAAAAATTCTGAAATCGCATAAGTTTAAAAGATAATTCGCTCAAGAAATAATGTTTTTTTTTTTTTCATTTTTTAAAAGAACACCCTAAATTTTAAAGAACATGATAAAAACATTTTATATTTTTATCAAATATGACTGTGAGTGGGGATTTTGTTACAAATTCAGATATTTGGAACAGGATGAAATTGGGGGAGGGCGTGAATTCCATTTCAAAAACTATATTTTTTGGCAACCTAAATCCATGACTTTTCATGATTTAAAAAAAAAAAAAAATAGTTAAAATCTTGACACTTCATGATAAATTTTGTTCACTACCGAAATTCAAGACTTCTCAAGACTTTCCAGGTGCGCAGATACCCTGTGTATATATATATATATATATATATATATATATGCATGGGGGTGGAGGAAGTTTTTTTTCCATCTTTTGCTTACATGGGAAAGTTTGAAATTGCAGAAAACAAGCTGACATATTGCGTGAACGACACCAAATTTAACTATGTTTAAGTAAATATTTACAAATGTGTTTCTTTATGTTTGCTTTTAACATATTCAGTACATAATTTAAGAATGCTCTGTACCCTTTAGTTAGTTTTATCGTTACTAGGTATTATAAGATGCAATCAAAATGAATAGAGCGATTACAAGCGATACAGGCAAGGAAGGAAACTAAATACCCAACAGTTAAATAATTAACAAATATTTTACTTACATCACATAATTTTTCTTTTCGTATGATGATAAAAGGTTCAGCATTAACTGCAAAAAATTTGGTAAATAAAAATGTTAATAGATATCAAAAAACATTGCTTCACATAAATATCTAAACCAGATATAATAATTTAAAAATATACTTCACATACAGAGAGGGGGGGGATGCTAACTTTTTCAGGGTGCATAGCCAAACATTCAACAGTACATAACACGGTTCTTGAAACAACTGTACTTCAATTTAAAATTGCTACAAAATTTACACGCTGAATTCAGATTTATAAATATAAGCACCTTTTAAGCACTCAAAGAATATTTTTAAGCACTATACACATTAAAAAGTGCAAAATTATTTTTCAAAGACTTGACATGATTATGATAAAATGACTAGCTTCTGATATAGAATTCTTTTCTCGATCATATTAGCCACCATAAAAAGATCAAGAGATTTTTTGTTTCGATTTCAGAAGGTGGAAAATAAAGCCCGAAATTCAGAATATCTTGCAAAATGCAGCAGGCTTGAGCATAAAAATACAATGATCTCACCGAACCTAGCTCAGAAGACACACATGCAGACCTTCAAGTATTTCATAAAACATTTAAAATGATTGGCGTTTTCATACGCTGCGAACCGACAGTAAGGTGAAATGGATTGTGGTTGAATGAACTGTAAAAACAAAGAATAGAACAATGTGAAAACCAAGCTTTATGTGACAAAAACCGAAATTGTAAAAAAAAAAAAATCCATTTTCAAAAATGAGACGCACCATGCCTTTAATACGAAATTCCAATTACATATAGGAAATTGATCTGAGATCATGCAAATTTTATTAATGTAAATTTAAAACCAGAAACAGATTAATTTAAATGAGCTTAAATATTCAATTAAAATTTTTTATATTTTCTTTTAAACATCAGAAAAAGCACTACTCATTTCTTCAGATCAGTTTATGAAAAATTAAAGTGGAAATATTTATTAAAACATTAGCATTTTACACAAGGAAATGTTTTATTTTAAGAAGTAATTTCAAGAAAGAATCTAAAATTTTAGATTGGCAAATTTGTGTCAGAAAAAAAGACAAAAACTAAATGTTTTGGTAAGTAGCTTATATTTTATTTTCATAGCTAAACTTCGTTTCCAAGTAAATGCTAGTTTTTACCCAGAAAAATGTCGAAAGAACCAAGACATCACAAGTACATAGAAGAAAGAATATTAATTATAAGAATTACAATTCTTATAATTATAAGAATTATAGAAATAATAATAATTAGAAGAAATATGCTTGCAGAATATATACAACGGAAACACCCTGTACATGTAAAAAATGCGTGGAGCAATGAATTAAAAATTCTTATTCAGGGTGGCCACTCAAATCAGGTTTTAAATTTTCCTGATTTTTCCACGTAAAAATCATAAAATTTCCCGATCAATGTGCTTTTTCCCCTCATAAAGTNTAATTAGAAGAAATATGTTTGCGGAATATATACAACGGAAACACCCTGTACATGTAAAAAATGCGTGGAGCAATGAATTAAAAATTCTTATTCAGGGTGGCCACTCAAATCAGGTTTCCACGTAAAAATAATAAAATTTCCCGGTCAATGTGCTTTTTCCCCTCATAAAGCTTAGGATGGGTACAAGAAAAGTGTCAATATTACAAAGTATTTTATTTAAAATATTTTTTTAATGTTATTTTATCATCTTTGACTCATGGGATAGAGTGCTAGCCGGGTCACCTTATGGGAATGAGGTTATCTATTCTTTAAGAAACCATGGGAGTTTAACAGGGTTATAATGAACTAAATTTTGATGCAAGCGAAGTATTGCTAAGTTGATGGTATTTCACCTGTTTGGCAATAAATTTTCGTCTAAAAGGGGGTATAACAGTTGGTAAAATAATTTTAATGAAGAAAATTAGTAAATAATTTAAATTAGTAAAATTAAGAAAAATCAAAGAAAAAATTCCAGCTTTTTTTTAAAAAAATCCCTGTTTCTGTCCAATTTTTCTGATTTTTCCAGTATAAAAAAAATTCCCTGATAATTTCAGGTTTTTCAGGTGGGTGGCCACCCTGTTATTCTTTGTGTTTGTAATACATAAAAATTGGCAATATACAATTTTGTTAAATTATAATAAAGTTTTTTCTAAAATTTATTCCCTTCAGAACATCCATATTTTATATATTCAATTAAGAAACATATAGTCCGGTCATGTGACAGGTTATGGTAGAAATAGGTATATATTAAGTGTTAATAAAGTGAAATGTAGATTCAATAGTCAACTTCTGTATTTATATTACCTGAAAGAGGAATTAAAGAAGATTCATTTTTCTCCCTTTCATGATTTTCTTTATTATTTGGGATAATTTCGTCTGAAGTGCTTGTTTTTTCACTCTCAGATTCCCTGTGAGAGTGTCGTTTTTTTCTTTTCTCTTCTTTAGAATCCATTCGCTTAGGTGCTCTGAAAATAATAGTGAAGGAATAACCTATTTTAATAACACAACAAAGAATTTTTTTTTGTAAAAAAATTTAAATACTTTTCAAAGAATTCACTCTTTATAAGTTTTTAATCTTTTAAGAATAGCTTAGGTATCTATAGATTATCTAAAAAATAATAAATGAAAAATTATAAATTTATAATTTTTGATATTATTTGGGCGACTTGGAGTTTGGCAGTAATGGGGGGTTTGTAATAATAGGACCCCTAAAAAATTACTTCAATGGAACGTTGTCGAAAATTTTAAAAATTGGGAAAACAAAGCGGATTTTTGCTTTTTTGCAGAATTCTTTCATTCCTCAGGGTGGGCAGCCAAATCTCTTAACAAAATGCAAAATAATTTTCAAAGACTTAATATGATCATGATAAAATAACTAGTAATTGACAAAGAACTCTTTTCTTGATTACATTATCCATTATAAAATGATAGAGATTTTTCGGTTCGATATTAGAGGGTGGAAAATGAAGCCTGCAATTGTGAATATATTGCAAAATGCAGCAGAGTTACACATAAGAATGCAATAATCTTACGGAACGTAGCTCAGTAGATGCACGAGCGGACTTTCAATTATTTCATCAAGCTTGCAAAATAATTGGCGCTTGCATACGCGACTTACCAACAGTACGTCGAAATGCATTCTGCTTGAATGAATTGTTAGAACGTTAATAGAACAAAGTGAAAACCACGCTTTTGCATAGTGCGTGACAAAAATCTCAATTCAAGAAGAAAAAAATCTCATTTCTGAAAAGGGAAAATTAAGCACTTTTTAAAACAGGGTGAGAGTAGCCAAATTTTTCAGCAAAAAATAAGCACCTTTTAAGCACTCAAAAATATTTTTAAGCACTATATGTACATTAACAAAATGCAAAATAATTTTTCTAGACTTTACAGCCATTATAAAAAGATCAATAGATTTTTCATTTGGATATCCGAGGGTGGAAAATGTAGCCAGATAATGATCTCACCGTACCCAACTCAATAGACGCACATGCGAACTTTCAAGTTTATCATTGGCGCTTTCATACGCTATGAACCGACGGTACGCCGAAATGGATTGCGGTTGAGCTTTTGCATAATATGTGGTAAAAATCGACATGGTAAAGAAAAGAATCTCATTTTCGAAAAAGGAAAATTAAGCAACATTTAATGAAAAAAGCACTTTTCAGGGCTCTTAAAAAACGAAAATAAGCACTTATTACCACCCAATAAAAAAAGCACCTTTAAACGAAAATAAATACCTTTTAGCACTTTTTAAAAAAGCTATGCAGTATGTCCATGCATATAATTGAAAAATAGGTTTGAGACAAGATCAATTAGATGTATCAATTTATTACGTCATCCCTTGTTGAAATCAGGAATGATAAGAGTTAGTCAAAACCAGAAACAAATTGATTATTAAATTACATCAGGATTATAACTGTTTCTCTTTAAATGTGTAAGAATTGTTGTGTAATTCCTGCATGCTCTTTGCATTTGCAGTTAAATAAACTATTTCATATTTTTTTAAAAAAAGCTCACTTACTTTGGTTTCTTTGGTTTGGCATATTTTTTTTCTTGTACTAACCTAAACTGGATTGAAAAACATAAAATAAGTATATACACATGTTTTTTTATGAATTTTAAAGTGTTTATTTTGTAGGTAACAGAACATTTTTTATTTTGTTAGTAATAGAAAGAAGATCTGTCAATTTCATAAAGAATATCAAACACTATATAATACCATTTAAGAGAGTAGTAGAAAAGAAAAGGATTTAGGGCATTTATATACCGATTGAAAAGTGGTACAAAGTTTAAAACAATATTCCCAAGAAACTAAAGCGAAAAGATATTACATGATTGAAAACTTCAGTTCAAAAATGGGCGCCCATTTTCAAGACTTGCCAGACGAGAATGTAAAGAAACAAAAATGATTTAAAATAAAAAAAATTTCATTAAGTGTTTCGATTGTATTTTCAGGCGGTTTTAAATTATCCCGATATATTTCAGACCATATGGGAAATTCGAATCGTGTATTTGATTAGTTATTTTTTTAAGGCTACGATTCAATTTTTTTTGTTGCAATTATTGCTTTCGATTTCCATATATTTTTTAAAATTCGATATTATTTATTACAAAAATAATAAGAAACATGCATAAATCCTAAAACGAAACACGCATTAGAGCAACCCCTTTTGAACAATCCGATTCTCGTGATTTCATAGTCTGTTATTCGGGAATTACTGCTACGAATTCATTTATTTTTAATATTTCTTTCAGTGTGATGATGCTTGGCAAAATGTGATGAAGGAAATAATTAGTGGGTTTTTTTCCCCATCAAAAATATTACATATTCAATGAAAATAATTATGTATTGTTTTTCTTTTTATAAACATCAATTTTGTTACTTTCTTTAAATTAGTAACATATATGTTAGTTATAACTTAAAAGTATCTTTCAGAATGATATGGTGAGTTATGTTGCAGAAAGCTCGAAAGAATTCTGCCACAGTACCAGAAGCAGAGAGAGAAAATAAGAAGAAAAACAGATCCAGAAAAATTACAGTGGCTGAGAGGCAAATCAGAGTAAAATACATTTCCAAGAGAGAAAGAGCGGAACTAATGTCATTAACAAGGGAATCAGTGTTCAAATGAATAAAACAAGTCTAGAGAAGGGGTTCCTAACTGGCGGCCCGGGTGCCGCATCCAGCCCACGAAGCCTTTTTTGTGGCCCGCGAACTAAAATATATTAGTTGTCATTTTTTTTGCGGACAATTTTCGGAAAAAATCTATATGGGTTTAAAATACTCTTCTGTTAATAAAAACCTAATTTCTTCGTTTCTGTGAAATTTAACATACCAACAGTACAACAAAAAGTTATTTCTCAGGTTTTGCATCCAAGAAAATATTTATTCAAATACAAAAATAATCGTGATCTCTTTTAATCAAATCTAAATCTCTTTTTTATTTCATTTTTTTTGTATTTGGTGAATATAATTCAGCATGTGCGTAGAAGAAATTTTCTCGTAGAAATTCTCTGATTTAACTTTTTGAAACCACTCATTTTGGACAAAAATATTTGCAAACACAATTGTAAATTTTAAATGTAAATATCTATTCTCTTTTGGTTGCAGCAGACAAACCTCAATTTTCTCAATGTGTGCTACTATGTAAGTTTTAATACCAACCTTTTTAAAGCTTTATATCTTAACAATTAGATATCTGTTGCACATTACTTGTTTAATACATAGGTGCGCATTAAAGTTATTGTAGCCCGAATTTTTATTATTCATTTAATATTTTAAAAATATTATTAATAACAATGAAATATTTTTAAAAATCTACTTCTTATTTAAATTTGTAATTCAATACTTTAATTTTGTACAACTTGGTAAAAATCTGACAGTAATATTTAATGTTGTTTCAAACATGAAAGAGTCCTACATAAAATTTTGATAAAGTTGTGGCCCGCCATTTGTTTTTGTGTTTTTAATTGTGGCCCTCGGCCTCATATAAGTTGGAAACCCTGGTCTAGAGCATCAAGACAAGTTGATGTAGCTGGAGTGAAAATAATTTTAGCATTGTCGAAATTAAATTTATGCCCAAGAACATGAAGCAATATAAGATTTCTCAAATTCTTGATAATGAACATATCTATCGTGTTCCTTAAATCTAAATTTTAAAGTATCTCTAGTTTGCCCTATGTAATCAAGGTCACACTGACAAGAAATGTGGTAAATGCCTCAGTGATTATCTAAACTTTTTTTTCTTATGTAGCAAAAAGTGATACGACGTTCGTTTCTGAGCTTTTATGATAGATTCACATTTCTGAGAAAAAAATTAAATGAATATGAAAAGAAAAAAGCTTTGGACTAAGAATCATGAAATTCATAGCATGTACTTTTTTTAGGAAGATGTTGTATACAAAACTCCTAACTGTAACTGTAATAATGATGAAATGTTATTCGAAACGATTTTATCATACGTCAAAAGAGACACCGGATAATCGTAGGATCCAAATTATCAGACGTCCTATTATCCAACCTTTGGATTTTCAGATTATTATCTCATTATCGGATAATCAAAGGATCAGGCGATGGGGTGTCGGATAATCGGGATTCTACAGTATTTCATTCATAATTTTCCAGAATTTTTGTTTCAAACTTGCAATTTGTGTGTCTTAAACCAATAAATGTGCTGATAAATTTAACTATAATTCATTTTACAAGATAGTTAATTTTATGTGACAATTAAGTAGTGTTATTGTATGCATAGCTAAGAAAATATTATTATTAAAAACTTCATTTAAAATTTTACTCAAGTATTTCAATTACTTTAAACATGTAAAATATTTATTTTTGTTTATTTATTACATTTAAAACACTTGTTTTAAGTCTGAAAATAAATAAAATATTCTTTAAAAGTTAATTATCTGTTAAGAAAAAAAAAAGAAAATCAAATTTAAATAAATAACACAGGTCACAATGATATCTTTACATTGTATTCTGAATTTAGGTAATTCATTGCTACGTTGTAACACAGAGCTTTACGTGAAAGAAGATTTGAAACTCGTATAATATCTAGGAAATCTACAAATACTTAAAGAAGGTTGAAAAAGATGCTACAAACCACTTTGTCAACTGCTCCTTCTTTATCAATAATTTCCACTTTTATAATTATTCCATTACAGTCTGGAGTGAGGCAGGTTTTCTCAAGAAACTCCTATGAGATAAAAATTAGCCTTAGTAATATGCGCTATTATACAAAAATAACACTTAAGGGATGAGGTTTCATTCAGTCCATTTTTAAGAGGATGCTATATCGAGAGTAGGACTGGGCGATTTTAAGATGTATCGTCACTCTAATATCATGATAGTTTGATGCATTGTGATATTTCGGTACATTAATGTGAACCTCTTATCCGGAAATCAGAAAACCGGAAAACCAGATAACCGGAATGAAATTCGGAACCGGAAATAAATTTTCTTCCATTAAAAAATTTCTTTTCCTGCAAGATTTTGAGCCCATTTTGTTATTTAGAGCATACGGCGTATCGAGTTGATGAAAGAACTGATTTAGAGGACGGATCAAAAGCCGTCTGTAGACGAATCTCACATAAGCACAAATAGCTTATATATATTATTAATGTTAATAATAACATTAATAACATATGTAAGCCTGTATATAATTTTTATTTCATAATTTCTTTCCTTATTTAAACTTAAGTGCATTATTATTTACTATTTTTAAAACTATTTCAAAATAATTTTTTAGTTTCGTTTTATAAACATTAAAAAAACGGCATATTGAAGCAATTCAGAAAACCGGAAAAATCAGTTATCCGGAATTGCGATGGTCCCGATCGTTCCGGATAATCGGTTCTCTACTGTATTTAGTTATTGGTCATATATGTTTATGACATATAGTTAAGCTAAAATGTGGTTTAGTACTCACAATAACTAAATTTTTTATTTAATTATGAGTATCATAATATTGTAAATATTATGTCTGCAATATGCACAATGCTGTGAAATCACCCTACATTGAACTGTAGGTAAGCAATTATTAAACATTTATATAATATGAATCAATACAGTAACCTTATAATATCATGCACTTGTCAAAAGGCAACTAAAAGAGCGAAGATCTTAGTAAAATGATGAAAGATGATGCTGAGTTTAAAATTGAAAATTTGTTTATTGCATGATTTAATCATGTTGATTTCAAATGCACATAGATCTACAAATCCTACGTCATGTTTTGTTTTTACGTTATAGTCAGCATTTAAAGAGTTTACAAACTACAGATTTCAATGCATATTCCCATGATTTAAGATTCACATATGGCTATAAGTATTTAAATGATTTATGAATCATTCATAGTTGATTATGTTTTGAGCCACAGTGATCTCTCATACGGGGAGCAACAGGAAAAAGCATGAGTGATAGAAAACAGCATCGAAGTTATAAAATTGACAAAAATTATATGACACTAAACTGTAATATGTCATACTGTTGTAAATATAATATTATATTTAAACTATTAATTAATTCCTTTAATAAATTATACTTAAAGGATAAAAAAAGGGAACTCTTATTTTTTTTCTCATTTCAAAAATTAGTCTAATTTTTGGGATATACTAAGTATTGTTAGCTACAAAAACCAAGTTTTCTGTTTCTTGCTATAAAAAACAACCAATTGTTTTGCAAATATATACATATATATAACGTCGTTGCCGGAGTGGAAGGATAAAAACAGGTCTTAGGCAGGGAAAGAGGGTACAAAATTTATTTATCAATTATTAGAGTGAAAACAGCTATAAAAGTCTACACAAATTCGTTGTGCACCTCAATAAAAGCTAGGGAAAATCTTAAAATGTAAATCCGCAAAATGTCTCATTTTAGGGAATAAGGGAAAACTTAGTAACTTTAATTGGTTTATTAAATAGGTCGCACGATTCCCACAAAGAGCAAATGGAAAAATTTCTTACTTTCAATTAATGCATACTTGACACAAAAATAGATTAAAAGACAGGATGTGAATTTAAAAGTGTGAGAAAGCGTTTTATTTTGAATAAGAAATTAAGAAAAGGATTTACAGAAAAGGAATAACATAAAAAGATTAATTGAAACTTTTTATATTATATATATACATTTAGCAATATAAAAAAAGTCTGGTCCATGACAAAAACATGTAACGAATTTGCTCAGCTTTATTAATATTTATGTGATATATGTTTTGTTACTTCAGTTATAAATAATATAAAAGCTCCCTAATGATATATAAAAATATACATAATATGTAATAAACTAATTACCTTGTCTGTAAAATTTTTTAAACTTTTTAAAGCTTTCCAACAGACTGCATGATACTGTAAGTTACAGTGATCAGAACATTGTAGGTCAAGGAATCCTTTGAAGTCTGCATCACTGTAGTATATAGCAGGTTGTGTGGAACACTCTTCATAACGACAAATGGCATCAGGAGGAGGGGGCATTTCACATTCCTTTATTTTACAGTTAACCAAGATCTAAAAATAAAATAAAAACAATCTATGTTTTTTTTTCCTTTAAAAAAATCCTAATTTATAAACTAAATGAGTATTCTTAAACTATTTTATAAATACAGTAGAGCGCTGATTATCCGAACTATGGCTGATTTTTTTTTTTTTTAAAGCTTAGAATACTTTTTAACTTATCAAAAATTTTTCTAAATTTCTGAACCAGTAGATCTTTCGGATGAAAAGATGCCAGTTTGTGCAGCAGAAGAAAATTCGAATGAAAATCGGAACTCCACTCTTTTAACAAAGCAAAAATTAAGCACTTTTAAGGACTTCTTTTAAAAAAATTAAGTACTTTTATGAAAAATTAAGGACTTTAAAAATATTGTTTATCATTGAATATACAAATACTGCCAGTGACAGTCCAATTATTTACTTTTCCTAAAAAAATCGATAAAGAAAAAAAGTAATAAAGAGCAATTTTATTATAATGTAAGCACTGATGTAATTGTATTAATTAACGCCAAAGTACCAGGCAACTTTTACAAACCCGGGTCGGGTTTCTTTTAAAAACATTTTCAAATTGTTAAAAGTTAACGTCATCTATGAAACTAATCTGTATTCCATTTTTAATGATTTCATGGAAATTGAATTATAAAATTAAGTGCAGAAATAAAGATTTGCAATTTTTTTATGAATATAAAACAAGAGTAAATAAAGAAATTTGGCAAAACTTTGAAAAAATTATTACAAGTTTTTATATTTTGCTACTAAACCAGCAAATGTTATACTTATTTTTATGGTGAACCTCACATAAAATTATTTCCAGCCAAACCTGTTATTAGGAATCAACTTTACATTATGTTACTAAACATTCTGGCGAAAAACATGAACTAATTTTAAAGCAACTAAAAATTGAATAAAAATTAAAAACAGTATAAGTTGCAATGTTAACTGAACAAACTGATTACTAAAATCTAAGAATCTTTTAGTTGAGTAGATTTAAATTTTTATGCAACAATCTGCTTATCCCTAAGAAATAAAAATAATAATGTAACAATCTAAAACTTTAAAAAACATTTACATTGCAACAAAACGAATTATAAATACTAGTTACCAAATATTTAACTTTCTTGTTAGATGCAAATCATGCTTTCTTATTTAATACTTAAAAAAATTTTTAAATATTTTTTTAAAAAATTGGAGGTTTTCATCAGAAACCCAATAAACCCCAGGTTTTTGATGAAAAACCCAGGTTGGCTAGGATTTTTCAAACCTTGTTTCTCACAGATCTGTTTAATTTTTAGTACAATCCTTAATTTTAAAAAATATTACTGCTTTCTATAAATTTACAGTAACTTATTACACATTGAAAAGTTACACAAAATTTATTTAATTCTTCAAGATTTTAAGAAATAGCTTTCGTTATGGATTCTAGTTAACCACTAGATTAAGTACTTTTAAAAACAATGTACCAAAATTAAGTACTATTAAGGGCCCTTGTTTTCCAAAATAAAAATTAAGCAGTTTTTAAGAATTTTTAAGGACCGTGGGAACCCTGACAGACGAAGATGCAGGTAGAAGCACGCAATTCATTAGGTATTGCAATGAATTGGCTAGAATGCCAAAATGATGTTGATCCAGTTCAGTTGATTTATTTAAAAAGAATAAGGGATATGGCTGCTGAAAAAAAAAAAACATCTTCCTGGATTTCTTTTGCAATGGAAAATAAAGAAAAATGTGGTTAAATCAGTAAGTGACAAAAAAATTTAAAAAGCTGGTGATTAAAAAAATTCAAAATGAAAAAAAAGTTTTAAAAAAATAAGTAAAAAATATTTAAAAATTGAAATTTTTTTTTTTAAAACAGAGCTATTTTAAATAGTACTGCCAGTCCTAAACCTGGAAAAAGTGTGAAGGGAAGGTAGTGCATAAATAATAATCATTTAAACAACTTTCCAATTATCCGAGCCTTTAATTATCCGAACCACGCTCAGTCCCGAGCAGTTCGGATAATCGGCGCTCTACTGTATAACAAATTAGTAAAAGGTAATAAAGGTAGCAAATCAGTTCAAAATCTTTACACATTGTTAAAGTATTTTTTTTTTTATCTTGTAATAAGTTCCTAGAATAAAATTAGATACTAGAAGTAACAGAATTGTAAATAATAAACATTTTAAAATATTTCAGCTATAATTTATACAGTAGAGAACAATTTATCCGGTATCCAGATAACCGGGAAAGCAGTAAACCGGAAAAAAATTTCGTCAGTTTTCCCGCCATTTTAAACTAGATCGATTACGAAAAAAAGCGGAAATTGGACTCATCCTTGAAGTTGAGTAGAGGAAAATGTGAGGAAGGGGAGATTTTTCCCCCCGTTTACCCAGAGAAACATCATTTCTTCTGTGACCTTGAAGATCTTCATATCGAAAGGAGGCAGGGAAGGGATGAATGTTTTATTTTCTCCTTTAGGCCGTCAATCAAACTCAAAGGAGTGGCACGCTGATTTCGTTTTCTCTTTGATTTACGAGAGGGTGGCACAATTGCATTGCACATACATATCAGTGAACGGAAGATGAAAGAGAAAAATATATTTATCTATTTGACATAGATTAATAAAGATAAAATATTTTCTTTTGAATAAATTCTGATTCTTTGGAAGTGCGGTATCCTTTGCAAGTTTTTCTTGATGTGAAACCACATCTGCCTTCGTTAAAAATCGTGTTTTTATAAAAAAATAAGTAAAAGGAGAGTTGTTTATTAATTTAAACATACGATTATTTACGAAACAGAATGCAGTTTTATTTTTCTGATTCCACTACGTTTGAATTGTTTTTCCTTTCAGGATAAATTTTGCACTCAGTAAATTAATTCTTTTTATGCATAATTTTATCATTAGGTTTTTTGATTTTTTTTTAAAATTCCGTTGATCTTATTGATCTTGCCTTGTTCCGGGTTTTAATAATTATTATAGTGCCTTTTTTAACTATCCTTTCGGTTCGATAATTTTCGTTTTTATTTAGATTAATAGGTTTTCCTTTTATTTTATCGTTTCCCCCTGTATAATTAGGTATGAAATATATTCAGGGGTGATTGTGAGCCTAAGTCAAAATTCCGGAAAATTTCTTGAGTTAAAAAAAAACAAAAAACAGTTTAAATTGAAAAAAATTTAAACGTTTTTTTCCTATATTTCTTAGTTTACTTAAAATGTATTTAAAATTTTACACATACCTATACCATTTACACATACCTATGATGACCTGGAGAAGTAATTAAAATTTACAAATATGTCTTTCTTTCTTGAGTTTATGATTATAACAACTATTTACTGATAAAAAATGAATATTAATCATGAATATAAGCTTATAAAGTATCTCTCTGGCTCTCCCTTACAAACAAATAAAATAAACTGTGTTTTTAAGTTCCACCTTTGAAAATTTGATTTCCGGAAACTTCTGTGATAAATGATATTTTGAAACGTCTGGACCTTCGATCACCGCAAACTTCCAGATCACTGTTAGCGAAAATTCCGGAAATCCGGATTTTTTCCGGAGCACAATCACCCCTGTATATTGCGTTATTTAATCATTGATTTTGTTTACATTAGTTAATTTAGGAATTGTAATTATTCTTAAAAAGTAAATATGAGAAATTTATATTTTTTAAACTTGTTTTTCATGTCTAAACTTGCAATTTTTTTAATTCTTTTATGATATTTTTCTACCATTTTTTTTTTCTTTTTAAATTTAGGAACGTTTTCTTTCCTCTTATTTTAAAATGTGTTACACTTTCCTCTTATAATTCGGGTCTGATAAAACATTGATTGACGACACTTTTTGGTCAATCCAGAAAACCGGGAAATTCAGACATCCGGGATAGCGATGGTCCCGAGCATCTCCGATAATTGGTTCTCTACTGTACTTGGAACAAGTTATTCATTCTATGGGGCAACAAAAGAAAAAGTGAGTAACCAAGAAACATGTAAAAAAAATTGAAAAAAAGTCTTCCTTACTTTGAGTTGTTCAGATTTGGTTTCACTAATGACAGTTTTCAAACCTGGCCACGTGTAAACTTTGAAACGTATTCCTTTCTCTAAAATGTCAGACACGGTTTGTAAATATTTAAGGGCATCTTTGAATCTAAGTGAGGAAAAGAAACAGACAAATTAGTTTTTCTTCATACAGGGAGCATAGCCAAATCTTTCAACAAAAAATAAGCACTTTTCAAGCACTCCAAAAATATTTTTAATTACTATGTATATTAACAAAATGCATAATAATTTTCAAAGACTTTACATGATCATGATAAAACAACTAGTTTCTGACAAAGACCTCTTTTCTTGATTACATTAGCCACCATAAGAAGATTGAGAGATTTTTCGGTTTCGATATCAGAGGCACGAAAATGAGAATATCATGCTAAAGGCAGCAGAGTTGCACATGAGAGTACAATAATTTCATCAAACCCAGCTTAGTAGATGCAGATACGGACTCACAAGTATTTCATCAAGCCTGTAAAATGATTTGTGCTGTCATATGATATGGACAAACGGTACATCGAAATGGATTGTGGTTGAATGAATTGTGAAAATGTTGAATAGAAAAATGTGAAAAGCATGTTTTTGCATAATACGTGGTGAAAATCAACATAGTAAAGAAAAAAATATATCATTTTCCAAAAGGGAAAATGAGCACTTTTTAAAAACACCCAATGACAAAAGCACCTTTAAGGGCTTTTTAAAAATCCTATGCACCATGTTATAATATTACACAAATATGATTCAACACATAAGGGAAAAGAAGAAATCATTTCGACATAATCACTAAAAAAAAAAAAATCAGAAACAGACTGATTTTAGTCCCCAGGACAGAAATCAGTCAGTCCAGACCCATAAGTGAGAGAGTAGTAAAGACATCCTGGTTTATATACATTTACATACGTAACAGACATAGGAAACTCAAAATGTCATTCACACATGACATTACAAATTAGATGCATGGAAAGTAGATGCAGTTGTGAGTTTAGCAGAGTAGGCAAGGTTTAGGACAGAATGGATTAATCCACGGTTTAAACTAAAACTGTCTTAAAGTGTCCAAAACCCTTTTACTCAAACTATGTCACGATTTCAAAAAAATATGGTGAAAAATAAAAAGTTAATTTTTGAACAAGAAACAAAATAAAGACAAGATTTTGCTTTATTAAAAAAATTCATTACAATTTTTAATGTTGCATTATTTAACCTTACGCAAAAAAGAAATAAATAAATAAATAAATAATTTATCAGTATTAAAAGCACATTTATTCGTATTTAAAGGATTAGGCATTCACTTTTGTTGTTCAATGATTTGTGGAGCTTCAAAAGATATATATTTTCCTATTATATTATTTTCCTTTAAAGAGCAAATTGTATAAAAAGTGTAAGATATTCATTAATATATGTAATTATTATGTGTACAATGGCATATAAAACAATGGTTGTACAATGGCATATAAAATTTTTACCTTTTACCTATGTTCAAGGTTTTGGACACTTTAGGATAGTTTTAGTCAGTTTAGGACAGTAAAACCCATGTGTCCTGTCCAAAACCAGTTTAGGACGTCTAAAACCCCAACCCTGGAGTCTAGTTGTACTAGGCATGCAGCCGTGCGGAAGTATAAGAATTTCCAGACAGCCAAAGCAATGCATATCAGCAATCGCACTTATCGATACACTTCGTGAGATGACGGCATCTTTCAATCATCATCACAAAACAACATCAACACACATCAATCACAAAATACGTACACAAACCTGTAAGCCTGGAATCCCACCGGAAAAAAAACAACATAAAACCGGATTGCATTTCCAACAAAACCCATGCGAATAAAGCAATAAGTGCGAATAAGTAGATCGTCAGTGCTATCGTCAGGTTAAGAAGTAACTTAAAAATTCACAAATAAAATTCCGTGTGTCGTAATAATTTATAAAAAATATAGGGTTGTAAGAGAAAATGTTGAAAAATTCATAGCAATAACGACCGCCGCATAAATGTTAGTGTCGATGCAAATCGAGTGCATCAAAAAGTTACTACTTATATATGAGATTCAAACTCTGCGTGTCATAATATAGTGGGAATTTTAAAAACCATGAGATATTCAATAGCATTAACAGCAACAGGAAAGAAAAAGATCAAAACACAAATTTACGACATAGTTGCATTTTAGTCGAATACGGCAATCCTAAATTGATAAATGCATTAGATTTATGTTCTCTAAATAATAAATACTAATATTTTTTTATTTTATTTAACCCACTGGCGGTTGAGGAAATGGGCAAAATTGAGAGAATGTTTCTCCCCTACACACAGTTTCCCTATCAGTTAACATGGGAAAACCGGTTTTGCTATGCAGAGAAGTCTGCAGGTTAAAATGCGACTTTTTACGTGCAGAACCGTCAGTGGGTTAAAAGTTGTTTTAAAGCATTATATTGAACTATTTTAGATACATTGCCACATTTAGTATATAACAGGGCTGGGTTTTTGCCGTCAAAAACCAACTGTTTTCTTAATTTATGGCATATAGCGGACAATATATTATTTTCACATAATTGCTTTTATAAATTAATGCTGTAAATGATTGCTATTGATTTTGCAACTATATACACGTATTCTTATAGAAGGATATACATTCATACAGAAATATTGAAACTCTAAAAGGCTTTCCCAGGCTTTTTCATGTCTCATTTCTGTGTAAAATATTGAAAGCAAAATTGATAAGAAAAGTTTATTTTATTAGGCTTTCTATTTATGTGTACATGTGTTTCTCAAAGCGAGATTTTATCAATGAAAGTAATCAATCTTGACATTCTTCAGTAATGTAATATGCCAAACAAAATGATGCTTGGAAATGTTGAAAATTTTGTTTAGTATCCTAATATTTTACTTCAAATAGTATGTTTTGTATTAAATAGTATGAGAAAATGCAAGAATCTGTTCTTAAATATCTTTTAACAACTTTTCTTTCTAATTTTATTGCTGAAAAATGAATTAATTTTAAACTATAAGCAGTCAAACTCAAATAAAGATACAGTTTTACTAAAACTATGGGTCTTTGACAGAGGGTTTTTTGACATGACGGTAAAAACCGTTATGTGTCAAAAACTTGCCAACCCTGGTATATAAGTTTATTGACATGAGACATGATCTACAAAATACAAAGACTCTCATTTGAAGATTTGCTTTCTGTAAAATACAAGAACAATATTACAATGAAAATACAAAGGAGAATTACTATAGCCAATAGCTTCAATATACCAATAGTTGATGTTTAAATGGAGTTTGAAAATACATAAAATCTAATGTAATTCATAGAAAAACAAGTTTTATTTTGTTAATCTCTTTTAAGATCAATTTTAACATATGCTTGTGAAACCTGTACCATATCTTGTACAGATGAGGTTATGTTGGGTACCTTTGAGAGAAAGGTAATAAGTGTTAATAGAGGAATTCCAAAACATGATGTGTGGCTTACAAGAACAAGTTTAGAGCTTTGTCACTCATATAATGACTTCTATTAACTTTATTAAACAACAAAGAAAAAAATGGGCAGGTCACGTTATCAGAATGGACGAAGGCCGTAAAGACAAAAAGAGTTTTTAATGCCAGACCAGTTGGCACACCAAAAAGTGGAAAAAGCTAGAAGGAAAAAGGTTAGCCTGGGAAAAACTTCTTGAGAAGGCCAAGGCCCACCTAGGGCTGTCAAGCCATTGATGATGATGAAAATGCAAAAATTGCATAAATATTAGTTACCTGTTTAATTTAGAAAAGGCAAGCCCAATTCCATAATAGGCAGCAGGAAATGTGATGTTTCTATGGTTTTCAATGATTTGCTTAAACATTTCTATGCTCTTCTGTAAGTCCTAAAAAATAATCCATTTCATTATTTTTGTCCTGGGATGTCGTGAAATTTGTGCCAAAACTGGTTGGCAATGGGAAAAAAAATGTCAGAAGATGGGTGTTTACTGGTAAAAAATCACTTCCAAATCTTTACACATTATTAAAGTATTTTTTTTTTTTTTGTTTGTAATAAGTTCCTAGAATTAAATTAGATACTAGAAGTAACAAAATTGTAAATAATAAACATTTAACATTTTAAAATGCTACAGTTCATACCTGCCAACATTGGAAAAAATACATTACTTTGTTAAATTTTTTTGCACTATGTGTTCAGTTTTTATACATCATGCAAGTAAAAAAAAAAAAAANATTCTTACCAGCCTCCCAACTTAAAAAAAAAAAAAAAAATGGAAGTAATATAAGCACTTACATTTAGTGAAGAAAGTAAGAAATAGGTGAATAAATTTTAAGCTAAAAAAGATTTCTTTAAACCTTTATTCATAATTACTTATACTATCATACCTCCCAACATTGGAGAAATATACTAACAGAGATTTTATTAGAGACATTTTTTGGGCTACGAGTTAAGTTTTGATGTATGCGTAATCATGCAAGTCAAAAAGAGAAATTCAAAATTGAAAATAATAATATAAGCACTTACATTTAGTGAAGTAAGAAATATGTATATAAATCCTAAACTTAAGAAGATTTTTTAAGCCATTATTTTTAATTACTTAAACTATTTTATAATTGTTATACAGCCAACCTAATTTTGGGTTTACAGCAACTAATGCTCAACTCCACAGCTTTGTAAATTTGAATCCACTCCAGAGAACAAGGGAACTCCTGGATCAATCAGGTATTGGGATAAATTTGCCTTTCTGGAGGATTTTTTGATGGAACTAACTCCCATTTGCATTACATCAAGAAAAAACCCACAATAGTCGCCCCAAAGTTAGCCTGACCGCAAGGGGTACTTAAACTATTAACACTCAACATACTGCAGTACTGGCAATAGCACTATCTGTTGAGGAATAAGAGAAATATTTTTGCTACCAGCAAAATTCTTAAAAAAAAAATTTCTTCAACAAATACGGAGAAATTTGAGAATATACAGGTAAATAGGAGATAATTGCAAAACACAGGAGTCTAAAAAACAGGAAATTTCGCTGGCATGCACTATAAACACTCAACATCAAAATAATTTTTCATAATTCTCAGTTGTTAGCTTAATTTTACAGTATTTTTTAATTTACAACACATTATTACTTTTACATTTTATATATAAATAATTTTCTTTCTGTAATTATAAATTTTCTGTTATGCTATATTAAAAAAAAAAAAACATGTACCTCATATCCGCCAGAAGAGCAGTAAGCTAAACCACATGCATATTTAATACAGACTATTTCACTTGCTTCATAATTCTATTCAGGAAGGGAGAAAAAAAATGTATAATCAGTAATCTATTCAACATTTGTACATAATAGGATAAATCCAAATACTTAAAATACCTGCAAATAATAGGATAAATCCAAATATTTAAAATAATGTGAAAAACTAGTAAAATTTTCAATTTTTGTAGTAATAAAATCAGACAAACTATGTAGTCTGAGGAAACAAAATTTCTCAGACATTTAGCTGATTTGATTTTTACATACTGATATTATTAAATTTTCTTTATTTTTGTTACTGATGGCATTAGGCCAGCCAGTTAAAAGATGTAGAGCTTACTGTAAATGATCGAATTTGAAAATTCAAAATAAGGGAATAAAATAGCTTACCTTTGAAGTAGAATCAATAATGTCCAAAGCAGAAATAAACTGACTAACTGCCAAATGTCCACAACCATCAAGTAACATTTGAGATCCTTCTTTTAGAAGTTCATCCAGCTGTTTGGGGTCTTTCTCTCTCTGAAAAAGAAAAAACAACATCTCTATAAAAAGTTTTCCTTCAATGTTAACAGGGTAGCCACTCAAATCTGGGGAGAAAAAAAAATTCCCTGTACATATTATACACTATTATTAAGAGGAAACACAATTACTGTGCTCTAGTATAAGCTATATTGGGCTAACTATAATAGTTTGAACTGCTGGAAAAACTTAGAGGAGAAAAAAAAAAAAAGAAACAGCTGAACATACTTAAATAATGTTATAGGAAATAAAATAGTTCAGAATATCATCCTTAAACATCCCATAGATAAAGCATTAAGTTGTCACGATTTTTTAAAAGACGAAAATAAGAAACAAAATTCCCTGCTATTTTAGGTGATTTTAAAATTCCCTTTATTTTTCAGGTTTTCCCTGTGAAGTGGCAACCCTGAATAATAGTTTCCTTTCTGGAGTAAAACAAAAATAAACTAGCTTTTATAAATAATCAAAAGCAATACTTATTTTAACAGTGAAATCCCCAAGAATTTTGAAAATTGGCAGATAAAAACATTTTCCAAAGAAATCAGTACTTTATTTTTATTCGATTACAGTAATTTTTGGTTAATGTGTCGCATACCCAATTAGAATTGGGTCCAAATAATATAAGCCTGAAATAAACTACAGTAAAATAGTTTTCCATGCGAAAAAATTAATCATAAAAAAGATTTGCTTTGACAAAGACTTTCAAAATTTGGCAAATAGTTTTGATAATTGGCAAATTCATTGGCTAATAATTTGAAATTCTTCGTGCAGGCCCCGATTACCAATAATAATTTTTTGTGCAGATTACTGGGAATATAATTCAATATAATCGCAGTTACCTGGAATGCAATACAATTACAATACAATTACTGTTGCAATAAAAATTATGGTAAATTGTAACTGAGATTACAAGTAATTGATTATTGTACCTGAAAAATGTAATCAATTACATATTTGCCCAACTAAGGTATGGCCTTGGGATTTACTTATAGGTACGCAGTCATGCTAGTTCTCTTAAAATTTCACAAAAAAAAAAAAAAAAATTTTGATTAAATGCCAGAAAAAGAATTAAGATCTTTTTTGATTTTATTGTTCACGGGTTTAAATTAATGATAAATAAAAGTTTTCCTTACTTATCTGTTCTTATCTATTCCTTATTTATATACATATACGTGTGTGCTGTTTTTTTCAAATATTGAAAGATAAATATTATTCTTATTGATTTTTTCATTGTCATAGTCAATGGTCATCCTATATATATATATA